GTTAAACCCATTTGGTACTTAAACCTTTACCCATACCAAGTTTATAACAGGCCAAGATAATGGATTATTTTTTTTTAAGTGAGGAAGGGAGAGGGAGAGAGAGAAACATTAATTTTCCAGAGAAATAATGATCAGCTGCCTCCTCAAGGTACCCCAATTGGGACCAAACCACACCTGGATATGTGTTCTGACCAGGAATCAAACTTCAGCCCTTCAGTGCACGGGACGATGCTCCAACCAACTGAGCCACACTATCCAGGGCTGATAATGGAATTTTGAAAGATTACCCAAGGTTGCTTAATAAGGAGAAAGAGGGAGAGAGGTTTCTAAGGAGGGAGTAGAGAGCTTCCTTCTAGTGAAGGAAGAAAAATTGATATAAAGGGAACTTTGGGAGACAGTCACCAATGACGTGGAGTTTTGTCCCAAAGAACCCTTAACTACCTGATAGTCACATTTTTGGTTAATCAAGTGGTCAAGTAAGCCCTTTTGCTTTTCTTTCTCTCTTTCTTTCTCTTTCTTTCTTTCTTTCTTTCTTTCTTTCTTTCTTTCTTTCTTTCTTTCTTTCTTTCTTTCTTTCTTTCTTTCTTTCTTTCTTTCTTTCTTCCTTCCTCCCTCCCTCCCTCCCTCCCTCCCTCCCTCCCTCCCTCCCTCCCTCCCTCCCTCCCTCCCTCCCTCTCCCTTTCTTCCTTTCTCCCTTCCTTTCTCCCTTCCTTTCTCCCTTCCTTTCTCCCTTCCTTTCTCCCTTCCTTTTTCCCTCCCTCCCTCCCTCCCTCCCTCCCTCCCTCCCTCCCTCCCTTCCTTCCTTCCTTCCTTCCTTCCTTCCTTCCTTCTCTCTCCATTCTGCTTTAACTTTATAGTGTTCAAAAACTATAAATCAGGCTGTCAAGGGGGGAGGGGGCAGTTTAACAAGAATGTATCTCTAGGTTAAAAAAGAAATCACAATCCCTATTTCATTACAACAGGCTTCTCATTTACAATGAGCCCTAACCTAGGATAGAGGCTAATACCCAAAGTTAAATGAAGTTTAGATTTTTGATTATTATGTTGACATTGAGCATTTCAATTTCTGAATAAAACTGTTTTACAACTTAAAGTGACTGAATAACTTTTTATTACCTAACTATATTTAGAAATCATGGTATTCATTGATGTAACATTTTTATAACTTTGTGGTTTTTAACTCTTTAAATTCAGCCTAAAATATTGTTTATAAAGTATGTCACCTTTTTTTAAATAACAGATAACTTCAATTGAAACAATTAAATGACCTTAATCATTTACATTTAAAACTTGGTTAAATTGACTGCATTTCTAATTTTAATATGTTTATTTGTATTTAAGGACTTCAGATGCTAGACTTAACAAGAAAATGTTCTCAATACTTAAACAACTTTTATAAAGCTAGTATATTAAAATGAAATAAAAACAGAATAAAATAAAACAATAATGCATATAGATTATATTTAACACTAAAGCAACTCAAATTCTATAAAAATTCCAATACTAAATGTAAACTTGGCTAAGTTCTTTTATTTTTTTAGACAATATATTCTAATACAACAATAGCCATCCAGTGTGAATGAATCAAAATTATATTTTTTTGTCAGATAGGCAAAAAATATAGTAATATTTTTTGGTGTGCTGCAGAATTTTAGTAATTAGTTTACGTGTGCCATGGGATGAAAAAGATTGAAAATTGCTGCAGTAGACGAAATCTCCTGGTTGTGAGCTGTGATCTTTGAAGACTTTGTATCTCCTTTCAGCACACTAAAAAATGAATCAGTCGCTAATTTATCAATTTATTTTAGCTAATTAATAAGTCCTTGGAAATAATGCATAATGCCTCCTCCGAATAAAATTGGTTCACATGCATTTTCTTCCAGATGCATAGAGCAACCAGTGACTGCTTCATAAGGAGAAAGGCTGTTTTTTCAAGGAGTAGATCTCAGGTTGAGAAGCACTATAGGGGGAGCTTTTGGTCAAGGGAGACTGAAAGCTTCTGAAAATTTAGCTAGTTGAGTTTTAGTTATACCATGTGGGGTACAGACCAGAATGTTAAACTGCAACTTCCTGGCATAAATGCCATGCCTCTATTAACTGGTCTTCTCTTTATTCCTTTCCTGTCAACTAGTAACCAGGTTATTACAATAATATCAATTCATTTAAGGCTAGTACGGGGTGGTTTGGTAAATTTAAGCAAGAGATGTTTATTTATAGATTAAACGTGTTCTGTATATACTACTAAGAAAGGTAAAAACAGGAAATCTGGTGGGTCTGGAACGAATTAATTCATGATGTCATTTCTAATGGGGAAAAATTCTGTTTTCAAACAAATCACTTCTCAAAGAGTCTTCCAGAGGGGATTAAATTGGAAAGCCGAGGTATGTGCTTTCTTGAGGATGTGCTTTCTTGAGGATGATTACAGTTTATTTCAAAGATATGTTAACTTAGATGCACAGGAACAATGGACACAGCCTGCTTAAGACAAAGATAATTCTTTTAGTAAAATGCTATATACCTGTGGCATGACTACCCAGTATGACCTGCCCAGTTAGGGATATATGATCAGTAACCCTGTGAGATTATTTCCATAGAACTCTTATTTCATCCACATAATTGTCTTCATTCTTGTGAATTTATAGCCATTTTTTTTAACACCTTTAGTGTCATTTTAGCATGTTTGGGAAGGAGCTGAAGCACCTGTTCGTCTTTTCAATCTTCAAACAAGCACCATTGTGTGTGTGTGTGTGTGTGTGTGTGTGTGTGTGTGTGTGTGTGTGTGATGATAAGTATGTAAGTACTTCGGGATTCAAGAGAAGCCCTACAGAGCTCTCTCTCCAGAGCATGCCTGATGCCTGCATCTTCTCCTTCCCCTTCTCCTTCCTCCAAGGCATGTTCCCTTTGCCCTTCTTTATCCTAAGCTCCCAGAGCCCTCCTTTTGCCTCTAACTTGTTTCCTGGGCCTAAGTAGCCCAGCTGGTTCACTTCTATCTCTATACCTTTCTATTTAAACTCTCTTAAAAGGAGGAAGGGAGGGAGGAAGGGACCCTTACATAATGGATAAAGCCCTTTCTTTTCATTGGAAACTATTTCTTCAAAAGATATAGCTAATTTCCACTCCTGATATGTTGGATTGGGTTTTTTCATTTCTTTAAAAATATTTTTAAAGAAATAAAAATGTTTTAATGAAAAAGATTTCATTTCTTTTTAAGGTTTTCTCTCTGGTTCTAAAGATACTTTAATATTTTCCCATAGGCTTTTGTATATCATCAGTGTAAGAAACATCCAAACCTGTAGAGAATTTTTATGAGTTTGAGCCACACTGATGACATTGCTGGGAAGCAAGGTCTCAAATACTCCAAAGGATGACTGTTTACAGTTTCTTTTCTATATTTGTAATTAAGGAGGGAATGTAAGGAAGATTTACATGAAAGTGAAAGAAAGCAAGGTACATGATAGCAAACTATATTATGTGCTCACTTGAGGGTGATTATGTCTCTGAGGGATCTGAAAAATAGGCATTTCAAAGGGGTGTTGGCCTAGATGCACAAAAACAATAAGGTGAAGATAAACCTTTTATAGGCCTGGAGGTTAATACCCATCATGACTTTCCTAGTTAGGAATTTATGTCAGATCACTCTGTGAGATTAGTTTTGACCACTGACCTTCTATGTGCTCCCTTTTTCATTTCCCACATCATACATATGATTTTAAATCTTTGCCTATCCTTTCTACCCTATTCTTTCTCTCTGATCTAACCAGAACTCTTACACATATATACCTCAGATCTCAGATCATATGGTTCTGTGAGTGATGTATTAGTTTCCTATTGCTGCCCTGACTTCCTGGCTTGAGGCCTCCAGCCAGCCATCATATCAGTCTGACCTCTGCTTTTAGACTCCTTTTAACTCTTTCACTTGTAAGGTCTTTTCCAACTGAATTGGTTTACCCAGATAATCCAGGATATTCTCCTTATCTCAGAATCCTCAATTTAAACACACCTGCAAAGTCTCATTTGTCATGTAAGGTAACATATTCACAGGATAATGGGATTTGGATATGGACAATTTGGGGAGCCATCCACAAGTGATAATGCTAAAATGATATTAATGATACTACTCTGACTGGAAAAGTATATCATCAGCTTGTAAGAATACCTCTCAACCTTATTTTTATCATAGGGTGGATTCTTCAGTATCTTCCAGTTCATGTAGTCCTTTCTATTCTAAACCATTCTCTCAATGAATCCTTCCTAAGCAATGATTTAATTAAATGTTGTCACATATACATTTCATTCTCTAGATTAAAAGTGTTGTAATGGGAAAAAGAAAATCTATGATTTAGACCTACGTTATAAACTCATATGCCCCTGAAGCCAGGTAGATAGCATAAATCAATCAAATCAGAATGGGACTGTTGTTACTGCCTACTATACAACTAGCATAGTAGCATTCAAGACATTTTTTAAAACCTTTTGATCAAACTAAACAGGGCTTCAGGCTACAAGTTTGGACCCCTGATTTGGTAATAGTTGGTCTTTAGATCCATAAAATATTAAAATAGTAGCAATTCCTACTAGTTTTTAGAAGTTTGCATATCTATCTATTTATTTGTTTCCCATGGTCACCTGACCTGTGACAGTTGATAAGGAGTTCACTGTCTAGCTTGCTAGAAGGGTAAGTCTAAAGATTAAGTGGTGTAATAAAGAACTGTAATAGAGGTTTGAAAACACATATAAAGGAGCAGTTAATTCTGTCTTATTAGGAATATGGAGAGATAATCAGCTAATGCTTTTTAAAGATGGATGACTTTGAAGCTGAGCTTTGAAGAATTAATTCTCTGAGATAATTAGCATTTAGTCTTTATTTTACCTACTCTCCACCTATTAAAATTATGCTTATTTGAAAAATAAACACATATTGCTTATTTCATTTTACTTTTATAATTTCTCTCCCCCCTCCTACCCCCAGGTTTTGTGTTGGTACAAGTGCTTTGGAAAAGATGGCTGATATTAACCTCAAGGAAATAACCCTAATAGTAGGTGTGGTTACTGCCTGCTATTGGAACAGTCTCTTTTGTGGTTTTGTTTTTGATGATGTTTCAGCCATACTGGATAATAAAGACTTGCATCCATCTACACCTTTAAAAACTTTATTTCAGAATGACTTCTGGGGAACTCCTATGTCTGAGGTAAGTAATTATATATTACCTATAAAAATCTTGGATTTTAAAATATTTTGGTAATTTATTACTCCTATTTCTTTTTTTAAATATATTTTTATTGATTTCAGAGAGGAAAGGAGAGGGAGAGCTAGAAACAATAATGAGAGAATCATCGATTGGCTGCCTTCTGAATGTCCCCTTCCAGGGATCGAGCCTGCAACCCAGGTGTGTACCCTGACTCGGAATCAAACTGTGACTTCCTGATTCATGGGACACAGATCAACCACTGAGCCACTTTAGCCAGGCCCTATTTCTTTCTTATAAGTATTGTCATCATAGCAATTAATGTGTTTTTTTTTATCCCAAAATTTTATGAGACATAGCATGTTTGTTAAAAAATGGATAGGAAGTTGAAGATGTGGTTATGTTTTTTAAAGCATTACTTGTTTCTTTCCTTGGTAGTGTAACTTAGCTTAGTCTTTTAAAAAATAATGTATGTATGTGAAAAGCAAGTGTGTGAGCAAAACAGTAGATGTAATACAAGTCTGCTTCTTGCTCTCTGGCTTTCTTTTTTCTCATGTGAATGAGGCAAAAGAGAACTTTAATATAAATTAGACCTTAAGTGAAAAAATAGTAATTATACATATATATTGCCGATTTTTCTGTAGAAAAATAAAAGGTGATTTACTAAAAACATTAAATATCATCTATCTTATCTAATAGGTTTTTATTTTATTTTGTATTGAGAACCCAAAAGCTCAGTTCATTCTTATGAGTCCTCAGAGCTCCCAGACTGTGAGAGGGCACAGGCTGGCCTGAGGGACCATTCCCCCCATCCACCCAAGTGCACAAATCTCATGCACCAGGCCTCTAGTAATAAAATAAACAGATTCTATTTTCTTGAAACCTTGCTATTTTTACCCAATTCTAGCCTTTAAAAAAATAAGTCTTTTGTTAAGAAGGAAAAATTTGTCCTGTTATACATTATTTTCTGGACAGTTTATTTTCCCTTCACCTCTATAATTTAATCCCCAGAGACCCTTAGAAGTAGGGGTCTATTTTATGGCAGTTGTCTTTTGTGATTTAATAATGACGCTGAGATTTTTAACCTGAAAGGTTAGATCAGTGGTTAGCAAACTGTGGCTCACTAGCCACATGAGGTTCTTTGGCCCCTTGAGTGTGGCTCCTCCACAAAATAACCTTGTGCAGGCGCGCACGGACACTGTGATTTAAACTTCGTGGCCCTTGCGCAGAAGTCAGTTTTTAGCCTGGGTGAGTCTATTTTGAACAAATGGTTCCAACACTGAGCCACGCTCAAGAGGCCAAAGAGCCACATGTGGCTCATGAGCCCCAATTTGCCCACCACTGATGATCAGACTAAAGGCTCATGGAAGTTATCGTACCATGGTATTAATGCTATATTTTATGATTTTATCAGCTTTGCAGATGAAAATTTGATTTTGTGTGGAGCACCTATAAGAGAATACCCTAAGAAAAAATAAACCCAGAATATATGAACAAATTAGAATAACAATTTGTAGTGAAGAGTCTTGCTTCCTCTTATTTTCTGATAGACATGTTCTCTCCCTATAGGGAAATGTGCCACTAGGGAAAAACTAAGTAGTATTTAGTTGTCATAAGGTTTCTTGACAAGTCTGGAATTAACACTTTCAAAGACTTAATGATTGATGTTATCAAGTAATGGTAGCCTGGACGCTAGCACAGGTATAACCTTTATAATGGTATTTGTACCAGTGTAGATCTTAAAGACACATTCTCCTGAGCTATATGAATACTACAACATAAGGGAATCATTAGACTCCTCTGGTGCTATCATTGTTTAGATTAATCTCTTCAATAAGCTCATTTTTAAAAAAAATATATACCCTGTTTATTGATGTTTTCTTGTATTGCAATCCTAGCTGCACATAGAACCTGCCTGGGTCACTTTAAAAATACATATTACCAAGGATCTACCCAAAGCTATTAATTACAGTTATCACAGAGTGGGATACTGGCATCAGTATTTTTTGTCCTGTTTTGTCTGTGTGTTTGCTTTCTTGTTTTTGTGGAATTTGGGAGGGAGGGGGAGCAAGAAGAGCTGTTTAAGTTAACCAGGTGATTGGTGCAGCCATGGTTGAGAACCACTGAGCTGTAAAGCCATACTTTTCTGGCAAGTACCCGTGCTAAGGTAACTTCTGCAGGTATCCTTTCTCATTTTGTTTTGCCATCCATATATGTAGTTACATTAACAGCTTATTTTTTCATTATATTTGTGCTTATGTTTCTATTGCCAACTAATACCATGACTAATTTTTTCTTTAATATACTTGAATATAATAATGATCAGAATTATCTTGTTTATAATGAAACTAGCTGTTTTACTAGATTTTTAGAATAAATTTGATATATAAGCTGATGATTATCTACAACGGAGTCTTATAAAATAGATTAATGAATTATATGAATAATTAGTTATATTAACAGCTAATCTGTTTTTAGTTGTTATTACCTATGGCATCTATACATCTAATAGACCTAACAAAGCAGTTATGTATACTGTAATTGAAAATACCTATTCCCGGCCCCTTTCTTGCTTCATCCTTTCATCTGGCAAATATGTTCCAATGGAACCACAGTAACATTTCAGGCACTCACAATGTTTCCAGAACCTTTTTCTGCTTTCTGGTACAAATCATGTCAGTTCGATATAGTGCCTTAAAATAAAGTAAGTACGCCTGAACTGAAATAAAAAAGTTGTATAATTATTAGCCTAGCAGGAAAGAACATTTTAGGTAAACATCACTGATGGTGTTTGTAGTCAGTACAAATAGAGATATTAAAATGTTCCTAGTTCAAAATGGGCAGTGTCTGTTTCTTGTGCTTGTGGATGTTCTCTCGTAAATATGAACAAGCTAAAGTCTGCACCTACGCACCAAACTATGTAAGGGGTAGGAGAGCAAAGATGCTAAGTGTGCATTCCCTTATATAAAATTACAAGAAATAACTAAGATAAATATTTTATGTAGTTTTCATCTTTGTGGTTTATTCTTAAATCTGATTTGATTTTGTCTTAAAGCAAAAATATTTCTGGTTAAATGTGACTTCTCATTTATAAAGAAATTTAGTACTACATATAAAATTGGATGTATTGCTATTGGAGACTGCCATAGCAAAGGTGTCTATTCTCTTATAAGACTAGAGGCCTAGTGCACGAAATTCGTGCATGGGGCACAGGGTTGTCCCTCAGCCCAGCTTGCACCCTTTCCAATCTGGGACCCCTCAAGGGATGTCCGGCTGCCCAGTTAGGCCCCATCCCAGTAGGCAGTCCGACATCCCTCTCACAATCCAGGACTGCTGGCTCCCAACTGCTCACTTGCCTGCCTTCCTGATTATCCCTAACCTCTTCTGCCTGCCAGCCTAATCACCCCTAACCATTCCTCTTCCAGCCTGATTGGTGCCAAACTGCTACCCTACCAGCCTAATTGCCCCTAACTGCCCTCCCCTGCAGGCCTGCCCCTCCCCCAAGTGCTCTCCCCCTTAGGCCTGGGTCTCCCCCAACTTCCCTCTTCTGCTGGCCTGGTCACCCCTAACTGCCCTCCCCTACAGGCTTGATTGCCCCAACTGCCCTCCCTTGAAGGCCTGGTGCCTCCCATCTGCCCTTCCCTGCTGGCCATCTTGTATTCACATGTGGCAGCCATCTTGTGTGTTGGAGTGATGGTCAATTTGCATATTACTCTTTTATTAGATAGGAAGGTGTTTCTCTTGCATTACTCTCTGTGTTGTATTTTGAGATTTTTGGTGTGATATAATTTAGGTTTATATATTATGGACAATGGGGTAAGAAAAAGGAACATCTGTAATACTTTGAACAATAAAGATTTTTTTTAGGTAAATGCAATGATTAGTTTATATACCCTAAAGAACCAAGGTACTTAGTAATCAGTGATTGTTTTTTTCCTTTTAGGAGAGAAGTCACAAGTCTTACCGTCCCTTAACAGTATTGACATTTCGCCTAAATTATCTGTTTAGTGAACTGAAACCGATGTCGTATCATCTCCTAAATATGATTTTACATGCTGTGGTCACTATAATATTTCTTAAAGTCTGCAAACTTTTTCTGGACAGCAGAAGTAGTATGATTGCTGCTTTACTCTTTGCAGTACACCCAATACACACAGAAGCGGTAAGTACACTGTAAATATTTCATTATTTTTTATAAAGTCTACACAGTGATTATATGGTATATATTTTTAAGAATAATACTTAACCGTAACTTTATTATAGACTCTTAAATTTCTGCATAAGTCCTAACTCCCCACTGCACAGAATCTAACTTTGTACTACATAAAATTTTAAAAATTTAAAGCAGTTTTTGAAACATAAACATTTATTATTCAAAAACATAAGATGTAATCATTGAGTCTTAATGTAATATGTAAATGACTACACTTTTATTCTTTGCTAAATGTTTTATGAATATACATAATTTTTAAATTTGGTATCATTTTTAAAGGACAGAAAATAATAAGGCAAATTTAAATAAGGGATGGAAATACATTAAAATATATGCAAATGTGAACAAACATCCTAACAAGTGATGAAAGTCTGCAGTTTCAAATTGTCTGTTGCCATATATTTCAAATTGGGGCTGTTCTTGCTATTGCCAATATGTCCACCAGCCCCTACCTACCAAGACATACTTCAAACAATAACTTTTTTTGTTATTAACCTTAAAATTCCAAAATTGCCTCTCTGGAGAGTAAAGAAGAGTCTGTTAAATTGCTTTGTTTTGATTCTAAGTAAACAATTATGTTTAAATTCTGTGTATGTGTTATAGGGGACTTGTGTCTCCCACTATCTTTAACTTTTTGGAGTCTAGCAGTTTTCCATACATTTACAAAAATCATAGGTTGTTTTAAATTTTAGAGTGAGTTCAGAATATTTTAAAGGGAGATGCTTGGTGTTTTATATTTAAATTTTTAAATTTTAAAGCTGATTATCTTTTAAACTTTAATTTGCTGGCTTATTGTGAGATATAACTTATTGAATTTATATATATATATATTTTAAAACGCTTGCATTTTAAGGAAATATTTAAGAAGTACTTAAATGTTACCATTGAGGGAAGTGTACATGGGACCTCTACCTACTATTTTTTAACTTTCTGTGTGTTTATAGTTACTTCAAAATAAATATATATATATATATATATATATATATATATATATATATATATATATATATATATATATATATATGGCTAATATGCAAGTGTCCTCTGGTAGCTATAATGTGCACTGACCACCATGGGGCAAATGCTCAATGCAGAAGTTGCCTAGCTGCATGACATGTCAGCAGTTCTTGGGTGACACATCCTGAAACCAAAGAGGAGCGAGCCCAATTCCTCACAGGGCTGTGCAATTCCACCTTCAGCCATGGGTTATGTTGTTTCTGGGGCACTGTGGGCCCTGAATCTGGTTTGCTGCACACTTGCGTTTGTGTTCCGCACCCTGTATGACAAAAACTTTGCAGAGTGCCCTCCCACACTCTGGAATCCCTTGGGAGATGTTGGAGAGCCAGTTTTGGCCTGATGCCTGTATGCCAAACTGAGGGACTCCACTTGCCAGAGGGACCCCGCTCACTCCACAGACACCCTTCAAGCCAACATGCCACCCCAGGTGTGGCTGGCTGGCGAGGGACCCAAGGAGGTTGGCTCCAGGGCGTGTCTAGCCCTGCCAGCCACCTTCTAATGAATTTCCTTGCACGAATCTGTGCACTGGGTCACTGGTTACTGATAAAAGGACTTTGGAGTCACTGATTTATTTATTTTTATGGAAGATATACAAATTCACCACATGAGGGCACTCAAAGAATGTCTAACTAAAATTTTTACTTGAAAAGTTGTGGCATTTAGTTTCTTGTTAGAGTGCTGTTGCTGTTATGTACAGTTAAGTTTTCAAGATGCTCTTCATTAATATGAACCCCCTTTTCCTTTATAGGTAACAGGTGTTGTAGGAAGAGCAGAACTTTTGTCATCTATCTTTTTTCTAGCTGCATTTTTGTCATATACCAAATCTAAAGGACCGAATAATTCCATAGGTAAGTGTCTTAACATTCAGTTTTTTCCTATAGTTATAAAACTTGATCAGGTAATTTTTATCTACTTTAGTACTGCTTATAAAACATATGCCACACTTGGGGCTTATCATTATATATTATTCTACTTTAGCATCATGGATATATGAAAGTATGCAACATTGTTAATATTAAAGTTTCTTGCATGTAGTATATATTTTCTCATGACTAACAGATTCTATATGATCTAATTTTTAAAAAATTATTCTAGGATGTAGGAGTTTTTGGATTATTTTTAGTTCCGTCTGCTGTTTCCTATAAATGATATAAATATGTACCAATATTTCAGTTGTCTTTCTGTAAATAAATAAACACCTCTGAAGTCTGTAAATTATATTATTAGGCAGAGTTAAAAGCCTATTAGAGAGTAACTTTTATTATGTGTTGATCATAGTTCAGCTGTTTATTGAGTCCTTACCATGTGGTCTACCCCCTGGAAAATGCTTTGTATGCAGTAGCTCATTAGTGCTGATAATGCCTAGCATTGTCAGAAACCAAGTTCCAAGCAATAAAAATGACTTTTTATGAGTGCGGACACAGTGGCATGAAAGGGTCCTTAATTACAGGATATTGAGGAGAGGGGAGCAGGGTAATAGCTGGTCAAAGTTTAAAGCTGAGGTTTTGTCCTTCATTCTTAGAGAATTTTCTCAGTATAGACCCAAGGTACCTATGATAAGAAGCCTAATTTGTGTGTATAGAAACTAAAACTAAGGTTTAGGAAATAAGTGACTTAGTAGAACAGCTTTAGTGTCTTCTCAGATTTGTATAAATGAGTTTGCCTCTGCTGCTATGCACAATACCTTCTTAAAACAATTTGAGTGACAGCATAGTACAGAGAGTAAGAGCATGGACTCCAGAGTCTTGTTTCACTTTCCAGATCCACCATTTGCTACCTCTGTTTACTTCTTTGAGTAAATTACTTAACCTCTCTGTGCTTTAGTTTCTTTATCTATAAAGTGTAAATAATAACCTTTCTTACCTGTTGTGAGGGTTAGATTGATGTCGGGCAGCAGTTGAGGAGTCCAAGGGAAGTCTCAACCCAATACCAAGGTCCAGGATCTTACCTTAACCCAAGAAAGGATTTGAGAGTGTGATAGGAAAATTTAGCAAAGCACAGTAGGTTTATTAAAGTGATAATACCCACTCAAGTGAGAGTTGGGCAACCTCAGAACAAGATGCCCCAATGAGGTCTGTGTGGAAGGTTTTTATTAAATGAGGGCAAAGTGGGCATAGGATGGCTTGGTTTCTGGCACTGATAGGGTGCTTGCCAAAGTGGCTCATCTTCTTTCCTCTTCTTCACGTAGCAATTCCTTTTTTGGTTCTCCTAAAAATGTCATGGCAATTCAGGGGGTAAGGTGTAAAGGCTCAAAACCATAATGCAGATTTATTATAAAGATATCATAATGGCCTTATTGGTCACTTTTAGGTCAATAGGCTGCCAAATTTGGGTAAGACAATTTCTGTTTGTCTTAATTACAGGATATTGAGGAGAGGGAAGCAGGGTAACAGGTGATCAGTGAAGATTACATCTATGATATTCCAGCCAATATGGAAAGGGGGAGGGGCAGAGCTTGAGGCCTCTGTTCCCTGTACTATCTTTCCCTGCCTCAAGATGAGTTAAACGTGTAAGACATTTGGAGCAGTGCGTGGCTCAGAGTAAGCAGTGTATCTGTTTTCCCTATTGACCTTCCATCTGGTCAGTCGTAATTCAGTAACTAATATAGAATTTCCTAAGTAAAGCATGAATAATAAACTTAGAAAATACTGTGGCCTACAAGACCATGACCAGGATCTGCCTACCTCTTTAACCCTATTTCCCTGCCATTTTGCCCTGCTTAGCTTCACTAGCGCCAAATAGACTTTTCTCATCCCCGCATAGGTGAAGCACCTGTGTATATTTGCTATTATTCCCTCTTTTGAATTTCTGTCCCTTAGATCTTCACATAGTTGTCTTATTTATATTTTTATATCATCAGGCCTCAACTCAGCTGTGTTTCCCCCTTAAGGAAATCTTTCCTATTCTAACTAAAATAACCTTTCACTTTCAGTCAAACCTCCTTTGTTTCTCATACATCTCCCATCTTGAATAGTTCGATCTCAACCAGCAAATGTTTCATGCTGATACCAATATGGATCATTCGCATGTTTTTCAGACAATAAAAGAAAGAATGCACGAGTATCAATTTACCACTATTAACATCTCATTGTGCTGTGAATATTTTCTTTTTCTGTATTTTTTTGCTTTTGTTGCTACTTATTATAAAATTTTCATTTTTTACTGTACATTTCATTTCCTTTTAAGTTATAATGCCCTTTTTATTTTTTTAAGTGCTTACTTATAGATTAAACAGTACATTAGACAGCTATAGTATATAAGAAAGGTTAAAATGAAATCGTTTGGGAGGTCTGGATCAGATTAATTCAATTTACTTGATTTCTAGTGTGGGCGAGAAATGCTTTGGTTTTTGAACAGCCTTCCAGAACGAATTAAGTTTGAGAACCACATAATTTTACTTGGTTCTTTTTAATGATTTCCTATTCTTCATAACCTTAGTATCCTTCCTTGTTTTCTTTAGAATTACTTATTTTAAATTCTTGGCCTATCTTTTCAAATAAAATTCTGATGTAGTAGTATATGTTATTATGTTTGCTATCTCTCTTTTATGACTGCTGTATCCTCCAGATATCTACTTATTTTGGCTTGTGAGCTCAAGCCACATGATGTCCAAAAGTTGCTGATCACTTTCTCCTTACACTGTTAAGGAGAAAGGGTCACTCTTTCCATCCTGTCATTCATTAAAACCCAGGGTGAGAGCTTCAGGTTCCCCAGGGCCACTGTTGCTCTCTATTGTTATTACCATTCTACCAAATGCCTCCTTGCTCTCTTAAAAAGAATCAGCATTGAGAAGAAGCCAGTCTACCCTCATGCATTTAGATGGGAGATGTGTGGAAGTGATTTCCTAGGGATGGTTGTTCAACTTCCCTTTATCCCAGCAAGACTTCTGAAATGCTCTAATTTAATCGGGGGGATGCCCACAATCTGCAGATTTCTACGTAAAGGAGCACAGAAGGATCTACCCACTACAGTCAGGATTGGCTACAGCGGAAGTTAATAAAGGTGTTTTTATTCCTCATGTTTTAGTTTCAGTCCCTGATCACACCCCACAAACATGTTAGGGAGAACCTTCTATCCCCAGGAGTTAGCCAGGAGTTAGTTTTGTTTTTTTTAAGGATTGTTTTGTTTTTGCTTTCAGATAGCTTAGAAGTCTTAGTTCCTCTCACTTAATTTTTTTTCTAGGGTTGATTTTTTGCAGAAAGGCCAACAAGTCAACCGGTTATGCTAGTTCATCACTTGACCAAAACAAAAAATCAAATCATCTTGCTTTCTATCCCTTTATCCTACACTACTCATAAGGGTCATTTCTAACCTGAAAATACATATTTTGCAATTTTCTTTTACCACTTTATTGCTTGTTCTCTCACAGTAAAATATAACATTCATTAAGGTAGTTATCTTTATCTCATTTTCTATCTCCATTTCCTAGTCTGATTCCGGGTACACAGTAGGTATTCAATATATACATGTATTTATTGAGGGAATGGTCAAGTGAATAAATGTACTGTACAGTTTTAATATATTTTTTATTGACTTTAGAGAGAGGAGGAGAAACATCAATAAGAGAAACATCAACATTGATCCGCGGCCTCTTGCACACACCCTGCTGGGGATTGAGCCCACGACCCCAGCATGTGCCCTAACCAGAATTGAACCAGTGCCTTGGTGCCTGGGTTGATGTTCAATCATTGAGTCACACTGGCTGGGTTAAATATATTGTATTTTAAAATCTAATGGATAAGATGCAAAAACCTGCTTGGACCTCCCTCTGTCCTTTTAAACCCTGTGATATTTAATTTCACATGTGAGACTACACAGTTTAGTAAGAATGGTACTCTACCTTTCCTAGTAGTGTTTAGTTTCAGATTTTTAGTAAATGAAGTATATTTATATCTGTATGTTAATTTTAGATATTTGTCTTTATTTCAAATTGGTCATTAATCATAACACTCAAACTTGTAAGTTTCTCTTCTCCAAATTGGCCACCCTACATTTGTTTTAAAAGTTAGTATTTGGGTCCTAACTGGTTTGGCTCAGTGGATAGAGTGTCAGCCTGTGGACTGAAGGGTCCCAGGTTTAATTCTGGTCAAGAGCATGTACCTTGGTTGCGGGCACATTCCCAGTAGGGGGTGTGCAGGAGGCAGCTGGTCGATGTTTCTCTCTCATCAATGTTTCTAAATCGCTATCCCTCTCCCTCCTCTCTGTAAAAAATCAATACAATATATATTTTTTAAAGTTAGTATTTGGTTAGATAATCTTTATCTCCACAAAAATAGTTTAAATTATATAACTTGATGTTTTATTTTTAATATTCAAAGCATAAATTACTTATACATTTTAAAATATAAAGTGTAAGTCATTGGGAAATAGCAGATATGTGAATATAGAATCACAAGTAAAGTTTTTCAATAATATTTAATAGTTGTCAAACTTAAAATATCCTTTCATGCTATTATAAAAAAATTTTGTTGTTTTATTTTGTTCTGTTCTTAAATTGCAGTGTGGACTCCAATTGCATTGACAATGTTTTTAGTAGCTGTTGCAACATTGTGTAAAGAACAAGGAATTACAGTTGTGGGAATTTGCTGTGTCTATGAAGTATTTATTGCTCAGGGGGTAAGGAGAAATATTTTCTTGATGCTCTCTTTTATCCTATTTGGATCTGATTATAATAAACTTATTTTCTAAACGTATCATGATGTAAATCAATCTGTGGACCAATAATAATATTACCAAAATTTTTTAAGAAACAAGCATGTTTTCCTTCACACCACTGAAAATTACTTAACATTTTAACACTTTCAGCTTTTTAAGGTTAAATAATGGAATTGTTAGGCAATTTGGAATACTTTACAATATATTTAATTATTAGATAAAATTATTGGGCTCTGTTTTATTCATTATTAGTTCCATATTGATTTTATAATTACAATCAGTTTTTATTTAATCTTGCATTTAGAAAGTACTACATTGTTGAAAACATTGTAGTACATGGTTATTTATTTAAAACATTTTTTTTTTTCTTTTCCAGTATACTTTACCATTATTATGTACTACTGCTGGACAGTTTCTCCGTGGAAAGAGTAGTATTCCATTTTCTATGCTGCAGACATTAGTAAAACTCATTGTTTTGATGTTCAGTACATTATTACTTGTTGTGATTAGAGTCCAGATTATTCAGTCTCAACTTCCAGTGTTCACCAGGTATGAATTTCTGTGTTGACGTCGTTGTTTTCCCATCATTTTTATTTTTTTAAATATATTTTCTTGATTTTTTTTTTTTTTTTTTTTTTACAGGGAGGAAGGGAGAGAGCTAAAGAGTTAGAAACATCGATGAGAGAGAAACATCAATCAGCTGCCTCCTGCACACCCCCCACTGAGGATGTGCCCGCAACCAGGGTACATGCCCTTGACCAGAATCAAACCCCGGACTTTTCAGTCCATAGACCGACACTCTGTCTACTGAGCCAAACCGGTATCAGCTCCATCATTTTTAACTTAACTTTGGATTTTGAGTAATTGCAAATATTCCAGAAAACCTTCAGTTTTTGTTTTGTTTTTGTTTTTTCTCATTGCACCTTTTTTGTTTTACAAATCTTTTGTTTTATAATTGTATAAATCTTTATTTTTTAAAGTGTTACATATGTCCCATTTTTTCCCCATTGGCCCCCTCCAGCCTGCTCACACCCTCCACACCAGGCCTTCACCACCCAAGTCTTCAGTTTACATTGAGGTTTTTAATAGCTTTATTAAGTTACTAGAGGCCCAGTGTATGAAAATTCATGCACTGGAAGTAGGGGGCCCCTTAGCCCAGCCTGTCCCCTCTCACAGTCCAGGGGCCCTCGGGGGTGGGAGGTGACCCGGCCATCAGGGGAAGGTGACGCCCCCATCACCCCTCTGCCGCTGCCACTGCCGGCAGCACATTCCTCGGCCAGCCCTGGTCACCTGAGCCTCAGTAAGTGAGGGGTGCAGGAGAACCCGAAGCCCTTAAGGGGACGCCAGCAGCAGGTGCATGGAGCAGTCGGCCCTGGCTGAGGAATGGAGGATTCTGGCTCGATTGCCCCTAACTGCTCCCCTGCTGACCTGATTGCCCCTAACTGCCTCTGCCTCGCCCATAACCCAGGATTTCCTCTTCCAGCCAGTCATAGGCACCCAGGACCCAGGATTCCCTCTCTGGCTAGCCACAAGCACCCAGGACTTGGGCTGGCTTCTCCAGTCCTGACTGTATCATCAGGGGACCATGGGCAGCATCTTCACCCAGGCCACAGGCACTGGTGTCCAGGGTCACATGGTGGGTGGCTTGTCCCTCTCCTGAGCCACAGACATAGATGCAGCTGTTGGCAACCAGGACCCTGGGGCATGCAGCTTGTCCCTCTCCCAGGCTGCAGCCTGTCCGGTCCCCATTCCTCTTTCTTGTGAGCTCATTTGTTCCTGGCTGGTCCCCATTCCTCTCTCCCCAGTATTGAGTGTCTGAGCCATTATGGAGTGAGGGCTTGACAACCGTTTGCAAAGAACCGTTAGTTCTTTATTTATTTACTAGAGGCCCAGTGCATAAAATTTGTGCACTTAGGGAGGTATCCCTCAGCCTAGTCTGCACTCTCTCCAATCTGGGATCCCTTGAGGAATGTCCGACTGCCCTCTCACAATCCAGGACTACTGGCTCCCAACCGCTCGCCTGCCTACCTGCCTGATTGCACCTAACCACTTCTGCCTGACAGCCTGATCACCCCCTAACCACACCCCTGATAGCCTGATCCATGTCTAGCTGCTCCCCTGCCGGCCCGATTGCCCCTAAGTGCCCTTCCCAGCCAGCCTCATCATTTATGCACTTTAAAAAGGAATTGATTAGAGGAAATATTTTCATATTGTTATTTGTCCTTTTGCTATAATAGAAGTGTCAGAGATGAAAGGAAATTAGTAAAATGTATATGAAAATCTTCCTCCTGTCAGAGTCTGGGGAACGCCTCGGGACCCAGAGTCAAGTCCCCACCCACCCACATGTGCTTCGAATTGGCGGGAGACCAAGACCCAGTTGTCCCCACTCCATTGGGCGAGACCCAGACCCGGCTGGACCCAACCCTGTCAAGCCCCTCTGGTCCCCTAGCCCAGTGCCAGGTGGGGGCTGCAGCCTCAGGTCCTGCAGCTTGGCGCCAGGTTGGGGAGTGTGGCCTGAGGTCTCCCATCAAGTCCCGCCAGGCAGGCGGCACAGCCTGATGTCCAGGTCAAGCTCCGCTGGTCAGGGGGCATGGCCTGAGGTCCCCCGGCCCGGCACTGGGGTGGGGGCACGGCCTGAAGACAGCCCAGTGCCAGGGTTGGGGGTCAGTCTGGAGTCCCCTAGCCTGGTGTTAGGGTGGGTGGTGCAGTCTGAGGTCCTATCAAGCCCTGTTGGGGCTGGGGGCACAGCCTGAGGTCCCCCAGTCTGGCTCTGGCTCGGGGAGTGTGGCCTGAAGTCCCCTGTCAAGACACCCTGGGTGGGATGTAAAGCCTAAGTTCCCCCTCCTCAACCAGGCACCATGCTGCCTCAGGTCCCTGCTGATCAGTCATTACGTGACAGCATCCTGACTGTTCTGCATATTATCTTATTAAATAGACTAGGGGCCTGTTGCAGGAGGATTCCTGCAAACAGCTGCCTCCACCATCCCCCACCCCGCCTGCTTTTTCCCACTGGCAGCTGCCTTGCTTTCCCCTTTCTCCCTCTTCTATGCTGTCTTCAGTCTTCACTCAGACCTCCTGCAGCATATGCAAATTAACCACCAGGACCACATGTTGGGTTAATTTGCATACTTGCTCTGATTGGCTGTAGGCATAGCGAAAGTACAGTCAATTAGCATTTTTCTCTTTTATTAATGTAGATACTAGGAGAAAAAGTAGAACACAAAATGTTACATAGTCCTATATAGTTAGTACTCTGTGTTGAAAATTTGGTTTTTAGCTCTATAGAAGTCTAAACATACAGGAAAAGTTTATAAGTGATACAGTTTCCTGTCTATGACAAGAGAAAAATGGTAATTTTTTTCTAGGAGGAAGGGAGATAGATAGAGAGCTAGAAACATCGATGAGAGAGAAACATCGACCAGCTGCCTCTTGCACACGCCCTACTGGGGATGTGCCCGCAACCAATGTACATGCCCTTGACCGAAATCGAACCTGGGACCTTTCAGTCCACAGACCGACGCTCTACCACTGAGCCAAACCGGCTTCGGCTAGGAGCATAATTTTTATTAGCATTCAGTGCTGAAAGAAACTTTTCAGGAGCATTCATAACATCACATGCAACAATGAATCTGACCCAACTTTTCTTACTATTTTTAATCAGAAGGTCATAATTTAATGAAAGTACTTTTGTAGTATCATCATATTGTAATATGCATTTCTGAATGAGTTGTTTTAATAAAAATAACTAGAAAATAGATAATCATCTTGCCCTTTAATCACATTCTATAAAGATTAGACACTTTAAATTCTGGCAGAAATCTGAGGTATTCATAAAAAATACTTATGCCTTCTGTTTTATTGCTATTATTATTTACTGCTTTAGTTATATATTTTATGTTTAGAAAGGGTTTTTGTTTGAATAACTTTTTTGTTGTTGTTCTTTATACAGGTTTGATAACCCAGCTGCTGTAAGCCCAACTCCTACGAGGCAGCTAACTTTTAACTACCTCCTTCCTGTCAATGCGTGGCTTCTATTAAATCCTTCAGAGCTCTGCTGTGATTGGACCATGGGAACAATACCACTTATAGAGTCATTTCTTGATATTCGAAATGTTGCCACATTTACTTTCTTTTGTATTTTGGGGGCTTTGGGAGTATTCAGTCTCAGATATCCCAGTGATTCCTCCAAAACTGTTTTAATGGTAAGGAACTTTCTTCATTATTTAAATTTGTGAACTTATTTTGGGTTATCCTAAAGTTATATATCAGAATTTGATATGCAGACATAATTTGACATGTATTCAGCGTGTAAAAAAAAAATTACTAATTTTCCTAATTTGGTAGGAACTCTGAATCATGAGGCGTCTCTTTTGGTATAATTTTCTTATATTTTTTTAATCTTTTTACACAATTAGATTACACACTTTTTGAAGAAATAGGTCATATTTTATGCTTCTACGTTTTTTTGGCACATAGAAGAATGTCATTAAAGATGTGCAGCCAGAAACATATAGCACTTTAATTCTCATTAGCAAGATTATCATTACTCCCTAAGGTATTTCTTACTCTGTTGAGTTAACTATAATATGACTGGAAGTATTTTCGTTGTTTTTCTGAAGTTTAGTTCTTTGTAAATTTTGTATTCTGTCCTCACTTCTTTATGAGGCTGGGACACTATAATGGTGACAACCAGCTCAGGAGGAGGGTCTTGGCGCGGGCTTAGAGCCTGAGAGAACAACAGACAGGGTGGCTCTGGAATGGACACAGGGTCTGGGGCGGGAATCAGGCCCAGGTCCCAGCCACCCGTGGCACCAGTCAGGCCCTGACTCCCATGGCAGAGGACAGACCACTGAGGGTCTTATATACCATAGCAGGGAGCTTAGATGTTATTCCACAGGAGGAAGAAAAGGGAAGAACGTCAAGCATGGGAGAATCCTGGTCTTGCTTTCATTTTAAGTGAACCATTCTGGTACCTGTGGGAAGGATCAATGTAGACAGGTGCAGTGTTTTTGGTCCCAGGGAAAAAAAGAGACTGATGTTGGGAACTAGGACTAGACAGAGGCAGTGGATCAGAGACATATTTATGAGGAAACCTGATGGAATTATTTGGCTAATTAGTTATGACAGCAAACAAAAGGTATTAGCCCAGGTTTTCCAGTTTAGGCAACTTGGTTGACTGGGTGATTCTGATAACTGGGAGAAGGTATCGAGGAAAAGAAACAGTGTAAGAGAGTTTGCTTAGTTCAGCAATAGCCAAACAATTAGGACAGAAGACAGACTTACTACTCTTTCTTTACTGCAACATTTTTCTGCCTTCAGCCACCACCATGTAAGGCTAATGTGCCGTCATTTCTTATTATCTGCTATACACTTTTATCACCTAAACTAGCTTTTCTGCATGCTCCCTTAAAAATACTTATCAAAGTCATTCAATGCTCTGGGAGTATGGGGACTTTAAAGATGAGGAAACAGCCGAAGCTGGTTTGGCTCTGTGGTAGAGCATCGGTCTGCAGACTGAAAGGTGCCGGGTTCGATTCTGGTCTGGGGCAGGTACATTGGTTGCGGGCACATCCCCGGTGGGGGAGTGTGCAGGAGGCCGCTGGTCGATGTTTCTCTCTCATCGACGTTTCTAGCTCTCTCTCTCTCTCTCCATTCCTCTCTGTAAAAAATCAATAAAATGTATTTTAAAAAATAATAATAAAAAAATTAAAAAAATAAAGATGAGGAAACATTATGAGTTTATATAGATTGATAAAGAGATATTGGGTGCTCAATTTTTAACAGTGAAAATCAGATACTGAATGTGGTCATGCCAGAGGCATAATTTTAATGAGCCATTGTCTCATTGAAGTGTCATACTTCAAAAGAAACCTCTCAAATAAAACAATACATAACACTCATCCGGGTTGCCTGTTAAAATGTAGGACCACACCGTGAAAAACATTCCTTCCAGAGCTAATTTTGGTAGATAAATCTCCCTTCAATTAAAGTAGTCCTATATAATAAAACTGTAATTTGCAAATTGACCAAACGCCAAAACAACTGGTCAGTGGGGATGGGGGCCAGTGAGCAGGTGTGGCCAGGCCAGCTAAGGTGCATGCCAGCAAGCAGAGGGACGGGATGGCGATGAGGTGGTTGGGCAACAGCAACCAGCGGCAGTGGAGTGATGGGGACTGGCGCTGTTCCCTGGTCGTCTCCCGCTGAGGGAGGCCATGGGCGTCAGCAGCAGCGGGGCGATTCAGGGCAGGGCCGCCCAGCACCATCCCCAGATAGGCCTGCTAGGGTTGCCTCCCACAGAGGGGGGCCATCAGTGGCCGTGGCACAATTGAGGACAGCGCAACTGCTCGCTGTCCATGCCATCCTGATCGGCCCGCCTGTCACCTCCCACAGAGGGAGGCCAGACTGGCTTAGGCCCACTCCCCTCTCCCCTAAGCCATCAGTAGGACATCCCCCAAGAGGTTCCCGATTAGAGAGGGTGCAGGCTGGGCTGAGGGAACCCCCCAATGCATGAATTTTGTGCACCGGGCAACTAGTGTGTGTGTATTTATTGATTTCAGAGAGAAAGGTAGAGGGGGGGGGAGAGAGAAACATCCATGAGAGCGAATAATAGATTGGCTGCCTTCTGCACACTCCCTACTTCGGATCGAGCCTGCAACACAGGCATCTGCCCTTCACCGAAATTGAACCCAGGACCCTTCAGTCCCCAGACCAGCACTCTATCCAGTGAGCCAAACCAGCTAAAGCTATTCTGACCTCACTTATTATTCATAATTAGAGGCCCGGTGCAGGAAATTCATGCACAAGTGAGTGTGTCCCTCTGTCCAGCCTGCACTCTCTCCAATCTGGAATCCCTCTCACAATTCAGGACTGCTGGCTTCCAACTGCTCGCCTGCATGCCTACCTGATTGCCTCTAACCACTTATGCCTGCCAGCCAGATCATCCCCTAACCACTCCCCTGCCAGCCTGATTGACACCTAACTGCTCTCCTGCTGGCCCATTTACCGCTAACTGCTCTCTACTGGCCTGGTCACCCCTAACTGTCCTCCCCTGCAAGCTTAGTTGCCCCTAACTGCCTTCCCTGCTGGCCCAGTCACCCCTTACTGCCTTCCCTTGCTAGCCTGGCTGTCCCTAATTGCCCTCAGCTGCTGGCCTGGTCACCCCTAACTGCCCTCCCCTACCAGTCTGGCTGCCCCTACCTGCCCTTCCCTGCAGGCCTTGTTCTTTCCCACTGCCCTCCCCTGCAGGCCTGGTCACCCCCAACTGCTCTCTCTTGCAGGCCTAGTCTCTCCTAACTGCTCTTCCCTGCTGGCCTAATTGTTCACAACTGCCTGCCCCTGCTGGCCATCTTGGGGCAGCCATCTTGTGTGATGGAGTGATGGTCAATTTTCATATTCTTTATTAGATAGGATAATTTTAATGCTCTTCTTTCAGATTACTGAAGATAATAATCCTTAATTCTTTCATGAGCATTTACTCAAAGGTGTTTTTAATAATTTGCAACTATATCTTTTCAGTCTGCAGCCACTAGATTTATTTAATAAATATATTTTTTTAATTGTAACCTATGTACCAGGCAGCATTTGGACACTAATGCTGCCTGGCACATATGATAATAAAAAGAAATACAGGGTCCTCATTTCTAGGGAAATTTTACTCTAGAAAAATTTAGAGCCAATTTCTGAGATAAAGAGAAGATTGTTAAAATATAGGGTTTAGGGGAAAGATTAAATTTACTATTATCTTTGGATCTATTGAGTTTAGGTGCCCTTGAAACATCCTAGTGTAGTGAAGATTTTGAATATCCCTTTATACCTTGGACTCAAAGAAACCTAAGCTACTAATAAAACTTTGATCAGTTGGCATAAAGATAGAAATTGAAACCAGAATGTGGATAAGAAGGCCTGTAGAAAGGTTATAGAGCAGCCTTTCTCAAGTAGGGTTTTGTCACATTTCTAAAAGATGATAGCTAGCTAGTAGATTCTAGATGCATAAAATAGTTCATTCATATGTATAATGAATGCCTTAGAACAATGGTCAGTAAACTCGTTAGTTAACGGAGCCAAATATCAACAGTATAACAATTGAAATTTCTTTTGAAAGCCAAATTCTTTAAACTTAAACTATATAGGTAGGTACATTGTTATTAACTTAAATTAGGGTACTCCTAAACTGGCCTTTGCTAAAAACCCAAGGGGCCAAAAGCTGCATGTGGCTCGAGAACCGCAATTTGCAAACCACTACCTTAGAGTATTTAGTCATAATTCTCTCTCAGGAAATAGTTGAAGGGCCTAAATAGAGTGATAGAGAAGAAGCCTACTACTAGGTCTTGGGAAAACTTCCATTATTTAGAATTGCAGAGGACAATAAACCTAAGTAGGAGCTAGACCAAATGAACAGAAGAGTAGGTAAGTTTCAAGAAAGAGAATGCTGAACACTTAACAGTGCTGTCAGGTAGGAAAGTTGGAGTTGACCTCTTTTAGGTGTGTTAGTTATTTTAGTGAAATTTATTTCTGTGGAATGATTTTATTAGATGAGTTAGTGAAGATTGCTAGCGTAGATAACCTGTTGGGGTCATTAAATTTAACGAAATATTTCACAGGATAAAACAAACTTGAAATTATTGCCTGCCTAAATAAGAAAAGACTGTTGGTCAGGCAGTGGCTTCAAGCATAGAGTGTAGTGTCAATGAAATAAACAGATTTATATGACTTTTATGTGTATGAAAGAGAAACATTAGGAGGTTAGGTATAACTGCTTTAAGTATAGTCTTAAACATGCAAATTTTTTTGGTGATATTTTCCAAAGATCTCTGAAAGGATAAGTAGATCAAAGGAGTACCTACCAAGTACTAGATACCATATTAAACACTTTTTTTCTTAAATTTTTTATTTAAAGTATTATATGTGTCTCCTTTTGTCCCCACTGACCTTTTTCTCAGACTTCCATGCCCCATCACATGCCCTCATCCCGTATTGTCTGTGTCCATTGGTTATACTAATATGCATGCATACAAGTCCTTTGATTGATCTATTAGCCCCCATACCCACCCCAGCCTTCCCTCTGAGGTTTGATGGTCTGTTTTATGCTTCTCTGTCTCTGCATCCATTTTTGTTCATCAGTTTATGTTGTTCATTATAGTCCACAAATCATGTGATACACAATATATCTTTCTCCAGCTGACTTATTTCACTTAGTATAATGCTCTCCAGGTCCATTCAACCTGTTGCAAATGGTAAAAGTTCTTTCTTTTTTACAGCAGCATAATCCATTTTGTAGATTTAACAAAGCTTTTCAATCCACTCATCTGCTGATGGACACTTAGGCTGTTTCCAAATCTTAGCTACTATAAATTGTGCTGCTGTGAACATAGGGGTGCATATTTCCTTTCTGATTGGTGTTTCTGATTTTTTGGGATATAATCCTAGAAGTTGGATTACTGGGTCAAATGGGAGTTTCATTTTTAACTTTTTGAGGAAATTTCATACTGTTTTCCACAGTGGCTGCACCAGTCTGCATTCCCACCAGCAGTGCATGAGGGTTCCTTTTTCTCCACATCCTTGCCAGTACTTTTCTTTATCAATTTGTTAATAGCCATTTTGACAGGCTGAGGTGGTATCTCATTGTTTTGATTTACATCTATCAGATGATTAGTGACTTTGAGCATGTTTTTATGTCTCAGCCTTCTGTCCTCTTTTGAAAAGTGTCTATTTAGGTCTTTTGCCCATTTTTTTATTGGGTTATCTACTTTTTGTTAAGATATATGCGTTCCCTATAAATTTTGGAGATTAGACCCTTATCAGATATAACATTAGCAAATATGTTATCCTATGCAGTGGACTTTCTTGTTTTCTTGATGGTTTGTTTTGCAGTGCAGGGGCTTTTTATTTTGATGTAGTCCCATTTGTTTATTTTTTTTTTCCTTAGTTTTCATTGTCCTAGGAGCTGTATCGGTAAAGATACTGCTATTGACCTATGTCTGATATTTTATTGCCTTTGGGTTCTTCTAAGATTTTTATAGTTTCCTGTCTTGTCTTTAAGTCCTTTATTTTGAGTTTATTTTTGTGTATGGTGTAAGTTGGTGGTCTAGTTTCATTTTTTCCATGTATCTGTCCAATTTTCCCAACACTGTTTATTTAAGAGACTGTCTTGACTACATTGTATTGTCTTGTCTCCATTGTCAAATATTAATTGAGCTTGATGGCTTGGGTCAATCTCTGGTTTCTCTTTTCTGTTCCATTGGTCTATATGTCTGTTCTTGTGCCAGAACCAGGCAATTTTTTTTTTAAATTTTAATTTATTCCAATTAAATATATAAATGGGGGGGGTGTGTAATCATATCTGAAAACCAAATCCACGAGAACCAGGCAGTTTTGAGAGCAGTGGCTTGTAATACAGCTTGATATCTTGTATTGTAATCTCTCCAACTTTGTTCTTCTTTCTCAAGATTGATGTGACTATTTGGGTTTGTTTTTGTTTTTGTTTTATTCCATATGAATTTTTGAAGAGTTTGTTCTAAGTCTGTGAAGTATGCTATTGGTATTTTAATGGGGAGTGCATTAAATCTGTAGATTGCTTTGGGTAATATGGACATTTTAATGATGTTGATTCTACCAATCCATGAACCCAGTATATTCCTTCATTTGTTTATATCTTCCTTTATCTCTTTTTTCAATGTCCTGTAGTTTCCCAAGTACAGGTCTTTTAATTCCTTAGTTAAGTTTATTCCCATGTATCTTAATTTTTTTTGGTTCAGTGCTAAATGGGATTGCTTTGTTTTGTTTCTGTTTGTCAGTTTATCTTTCTGTGAATTCAATATTGGTGTATAAAATAGCCATAGATTTCTGGGTGTTATCTATCCTGATATATTACAGAATTCATTTATTAAATCTAGTAGTTTTTTGATGTAGTCTTTAGGGTTTTCAATGTAATGTCAGCTGTGAATAATGACAGTTTTACTTCTTCTTTTCCAATTTAGATGCCTCATTTTTCTTCTTGTTTGATCACTATATCTAGCACTTCCAGTACTATGTCGAACAGGAGTGGTGAAAGTGGGCATCCCTGTCTTGTTCCTGTTCTTAGAGGAAATAGTTTTAGTTTTTACCCAATGAGTATGATGTTGGCTGTAGGTTTGTCATATAAGGCTTTTGTTACGTTGAGGTATGATCCCTCTGTTCCCAATTTGCCGAGAGTTTTTATCAAGAAAATGTGTTGAATTGTGTCAAATGCTTTTTCTGCATCAATTGATAGGATTATGTGATTTTTATTTCTCAATTTGTTTATGTGGTGTATCACATTAATGGTTTGTGGATATTGTACCATCCTTGCATCCCTGGAATAAATCCCACTTGGTTGTGGTGTATGATTGTTTTAATGTATGCTGGATCCTATTTGCTAGAATTTTATTGAGGATTTTAGCATCTATGATCATCAGGAATACTGGTCTGTAATTCTCTTTGCTTTATCTGTTTTTGTGATTAGGGTAATCTGGCTTCATAGAAAGATCTTGAAAATGTTCCTTCCTCTTGAATTTTTGGAATAATCTGAAGAGGATAGGTTTTACTTTTTTAAATGTTTGGTAAAACTCTCCTTTGAAGCCATCTGACCCAGAGCTTTTGTTTGCTGGAAATTTTTTGATGATTGCTTCAGTTTCATCAGTAGTTATCGGCCTATTCAAATTTTTTTATTCTTCCTGATTGAGTTTTGGAATGTCATATTTTTCTAGGAATATGTCCATTTTTTCTAGTTCACCAGTTTTGTTTTGTTTTTTTGTAATAGAGTTGTTCATGATATTTTTTTTTTTTTTTTTTACAATCCTTTGTATTCCTGTGAGGTCTGTTGTTATTTTATCTCTTTCATTTCTGATTTTATTTATTTGGGTCCTCTCTCTCTCTTTCTTGGTGAGCCTGGCTAGAAGTTCATCATACTTGTTTATCCTTTCAAAGAACCAGCTCTTGGTTTTATTGTTAAGCACTGATTAAGTAAAGTTTCATAAGTATCTCAATAATAAAATGTAAGTAGTATTTATAAACAGTTGCAAGTAGTTAAGTGATTAATTTACCTTTATGTTACATAGGAAATAAAAAGTGACACAAATTTGTCTCCAAACTCTTTGTTCTTTCCACAATCATTCTTCCTTTCAAAGAATTTACATCTCTGGAGGAAGGAGATTATATTAGTCATAGTGAACTAGGTTGGCATACATTAATAGAGAGCATATTAGGATTTCTAAGTTAATAATTAGTGGAGATATTCCTTAACTAAGAACAAATAGATTTATGGGTTGATTTCTTTTTTGTGTAGTTTATGTATCAGTTCATGATGCATCTTTGGATCAATTTAATACTTATTCTTTCGAATGAAATTGCTTTAGGACAGTCATGAATTAATAGGGAATTTTTTTAAAGCACTACATATTTAGGAATATCTCTGTTTCTCAGTTAGCTGGTTATTTGTATTGAGTACTTCTGGGAGATGTAAATGAACTATGCACTCTTAATGTTTTACTTTTTTAAAAAAAACACTAAAATTTTAGATATATAAGTTGGTGATACTGAGCAGTATGATGGTAGTGCTTTTCTTCAGATTTAATATTGCCTCATTATAAATCATTTTTGATTTATGGAGAAAGTATTTTTTAATATATATAATACATATCTGCAACTATATTTTGCTATAAAAACTGATAAATGCTCACGCTTATAAAGCTGAAGGAACTACTTACTTATTTAATTGCACTATCAAACAAATCAGGGTAACAATATATGGAATCATATGTATATAGAAATAGATGTTCTAATGACAGCTAATTTGTGTTCTTCCACAAGTTATTTCTGTGCTAGTTATTTGTGTCCTACCTTTTGTAATGGCTTTATAACCTGAAAACCATATGCCATCCCATTTTCATAATGAAAAACAAAAATAAAACCTAAACATTTTTAGATGTTTTATTTCAGTTAGAATATCAGACATTCTTGTAAATATTTCTTAGAAGTCTTAGGAAGAAAAAAAAGACTAAGACACTGTTATCTTAAAGGGAGGCAGTTTTATTCTTAAACATATACTAAGCCTATGTTACATGTATGTGACTCATCAGAATCTAATGCAAAATAATACTGAGGTATAAAAGTAACAGTCTGCTGTCTTGTCTGAAACACACCTTATGAATTTCCAATATGATGTGGTTACTAATAGTAGTAACATAAAAATTGGCTTTTAAAAATACTTCTCTTTTTTTTTTTTTTTTTCGACCACCAGTATATTTCCAAATTAAATGACAAAATATTTGGATTTGATTCTTGAATGTTCATATATTTTTTATTTAATAAAATATCTTCTTCTTTTCCTTTGTAGGCACTTTGTTTAATGGCGTTACCATTTATTCCTGCATCGAACCTTTTTTTCCCAGTTGGATTTGTTGTTGCTGAACGAGTATTATATGTTCCGAGCATGGGGTTCTGTATTTTGGTAGCCCATGGATGGCACAAAATATCAAACAAGAGGTGAATTTAAATATTTGCTTATTTCATGCTACTAACTATAAAATCAAATGTGATAAATTTACGTATTTAAATGTTTATTTTAATTCAGTTTTATAAATCATACTTTTGTACATCTCTTGTTTTTCATCTTGATAGTCTCATTTTCCTGTAATTCAAGTTAGGAAAGCAATACTGGAATAACTTCTGTTTTGTGTACTCATAATTGTGAGTACTATAATTTCATGCTGTGATTACTGTCTTCATCATAACCACCATGTCGTAATTGCCTTAACAGCAGTTAAGGAACAGAATAGTTAACTATGTATACAAGAAATGGGCACTGTCTCTTCTTTCTCACTTCCAGTCACCATTCAACACATAGAATTCTGACTTCTCTCTTATCTACTAACACAGATAACAAATTGCTTCCTGGTAGCTAAATTTGGTCAATGCTTTTATTTAAAATTTATTTCCCAGGCATCTGTAAAAAGTCTCTCTTCATTCTCTCTTATATCTTTTTATTTCTGCTCTCTTCTCTGATTTCTTCTTCCTCTGACTGCTCTTTAAATATTTATTATTTCTCAGAGTTCTACCATAGCCGCTTTTATTACAGTACATATTCTCCCTGGATGATCTCTTCTATGGCTATAATTTACATTACTATCTACCAAACCTTTTCCCTTAGCTTTGACCCATATATCCTTTGTTATTCAATATCAGTTTTTTAGTGCCTACCATGTATCAGAATCCCTGATAGATTGTTTAGATTTATTTTCTTATTTTATTCTTGACATTCGTTAATTCTGTTTTGCACATTTTAAAATTAAGGATCATACAGGTTACCTGAATTATGCAAGATCACACAGCTAGTAAATAACAGTCTTCAGATGTACATCTGACTATTTTCTATTCCATGTTCTTTCTGATGCATGCACTCATATTCTGGTTAAGTGTGTCATCAAATGAAAGAAGTTGAACTGTGTTACCAGGGCAAAAACACAGTTAGAGAACATTAGTATTAAATGAGATCATAGGGATTATTGAAGTATAATCATATTTTTATAAAGGAAGGAATTGTGTCCCAAATAATTAGTCTAAAGTATATAAGTAATGTACATCTATTTTATAGAGATAAGTTTACTATGACTTTTAATAAACAGTTCTAGTTTTAAAATGTAAGTTATTCCAAGAATGCATGATAACCTGTAGTATATAATTGTAAGCAGAAATGTTTTTAAATGTAGCCAATGATAAAATTCACCCTTTTTAAATGCAAGTAAGAATATTCATGTTGTAGGTAATGGTAAAAGGACTCTAAATATAAAAATTCATAATTAAAAAACTGGTTTCATCAACTTTTTATTAAATATAGACAATGCTTTTGAAATAAAGGTAAATATTGTAGTATTTAATGTAATTGAAGAGTGAAGAAGTGGAAGATAGTATTTACATATTTAAGTTTTTGGTGTTGGTCCCTCTGAAGTAGAATGATTATTAGAACAATCCCTATTTTTAGAATAAATTCAGACATGACATTGGAGGTATTTAACATTTCTTCTGTTCTAAAAGATAAAATGCTTTGGGTGATATAAAGATTTTTTTTGTTTTTTCTTTACTCTCTTAAACAGTGTATTTAAAAAGTTATCCTGGATTTGTCTATCTTTGGTGATATTCACTCATGCCTTAAAAACAATCCACAGAAATTGGGATTGGGAATCTGAATATACATTGTTTATGTCAGCCTTGAAGGTAAAGTATTATCCAAGAATGACAGGAAAGTATGACATCAATTTTTATAGCCATGTCTAAGATGCTTTACCTTTACTTTTAATTAGATATTTAATTATCAATATTAATTCACTAAAAAATTATATAGTTTGTTTTTTATATAATATACCTTAACCGGTACATTGAATAGTACTTACCTGTATGTCCACAACACATATGAATAATTTCTTAAATGATATACAGTCATTAGAAACTTAAATGATAAAATGTTTAAATAAGAATACTGTGTTCATTAATTCTTAAGGTACACATTTTTTAACCTTTTAATGCCTCTGAAATAAGAATAAATCTTACAGTGAAAGGCATCTTACAATTAATTTGTTACCTTTTTTCTTTCTTAATAGTACATAAAATTGATGGCATGTTAGATTCATTGAAATAACATACTTCACCAAAAAAATGGCAACCTACTATGTGGAAGATAACCAACCAATGATTAGAACTCTGTAATACTTTCAACAATAAGGATAATTTTTTAAAAAATGCTTTAGGAAGGATAGAAACTGGCAGAAAGGATTGACATAGCATTCCTATAAATGAACAATAGAAACAGGAATATGGTCTTTTTAAAAATCACAAAATTTGTTTTCAATAGAAGTTACAAGCAAAGATTTTTTTCAGGTGCTCCCTTGCTAATGCCTCTCTTCTAATCAGTAATTCTTAATTTCCTTTTGGCTATTTTAGTACTCTCCTTAGCCTCGCTTTATTGGGTCACTGCCTCATTTCAGTAGTCTATGTGACTTCTTGATTTGACATCTATTTAAGGTCAAATGACTGTCCTTTTTACTGTCTTCCCTAGCTCAGAAATCTGCAAACAGATGAGACCTCATTTTCATTATTATTAATTCCCCTTTCAGATTACCCATGGAACCAAACCCCATGGTTTTCAGGAATTTTGCTTGACTTTACTCACATGACAGTGCTCAAAACCACAGCCCCAATCACTGTAGCTAGTACCTTAGCTAGCTAGATACCCTCCTCTACTTGCAGTAACACTGTGCTCATCTGTAAACTCTGAAAGTACAAATCTACTTAGAACTGTAGACTCAGGGTTCTCTTACAATAATAGACTACATAAATAAGTCCAGCCTAAAATTAAGTAATTAGTGCAATGTTTAAATGTATTCTCATAGTCACATACCTTTTCTGCCAAAAGAATACAAGTAGTCCTGCAGAGTTTTCAAATAGCACTATACTTTGATTAAATAAAATTTTTAGTAAAATTTGAATATATAAAACTAGAGGCCCCGTGCACAAAATTCATGCATGGATGGGGCTTCCTCAGACCGGCCTGCAACCTCTCCAATCTGAGACCCCTCGAGGGATGTCCAGTTGTCAAATTTAAGCCTGAACCCTGAGACATCCCTCTTGCAATCCAGGGTGACTGGCTTATAATCCACTTACCTGCCTGCCTGCCTGATTGCCCCAACCCTTCTGCCTGCTGGTTCTGATTGGTTGGTTTCTATGCCAGTCAGCATCAAAAGCTTCATCTCCTAGGCAGCCATTGGCTCCTTACCCAGATTTGGTTCTAATTGGTTGGTTTCTATGCCAGTCAACATCTTCGGGCCTATCTTCTGACATGATCATAGAGGTAGGGCTGATCAGCAGCTGCCCCAGGCTGCTGGTTGAGCAGGCTGAACTGCTGACCTGTGGGAGAGAGAGAGGCACTTGGCTGCTGGAGAGGCCTAGAGAGAGAAGCAGGGTCTGATCACCCTACTTCTCTGTCTGGGCCTTGCCAGCAGCCTCTGACACTGCTGATCAGCTCTGCCTCTCTCTGTCTTTGAGAGGTTAGCATTTCAGCCTGCTAGCCTGCTGCATGTTCAGCCTGGTGTTCAGTCAAGCCTTCAATTGTTTTGGATGTTACCACTCTGGCTCTTTATATATATATCAATAGATAGATGAACTTAGACTGCTGTGGTTTTAGTATGTTGATATTGAAAGGAGAGAGGGTAAATTGAGTGAAGAAGTGTTCATTTGGTTTATTCCTCATCTCCAGGGGCCTCTCAGTGGAACACTGTATTCTAATAGTATACCAAACAAATATCTGTGTTAATTGGAGTCATTATTTTTTTCTGAGAGAAAATAAAAATTATTTTTCCCGCCAAAACCGGTTTGGCTCAGTGGATAGAGTGTCGGCCTGCAGACTGGAAGGTCCTGGGTTCAATTCCGGTCAAGGGCATGTATGTTGGTTGCGGGCACATCCCCAGAAGGGGGTGTACAGGAGGCAGCTGATCGATGATTCTCTCTAATCAATGTTTCTAACTCTCTATCCCTCTCTCTTCCTCTCTGTAAAAAATCAATAAAATATATATTTTTTTTAAAAAAAGACAGAACTATGTTTTTTTAAAAAAATTATTTTTCCTTTTGAGATATAATTGACATAAACTTCTTATTTAAGATATATAAATATGTGTATATTATGAAATGATTAAAAGTTTAATTAATATACATCATCTTACACATTTAGACATTTTTTTCTCATGATGAAAACCTTTAAGATCTTCTCCCTTACCAATTTCCAAATATACAACACAGTGTTGTTGGCTATAGTCTCCATGTTGCACATTACATCCCCAAAACTAACTTACCTTATAATTGAAAGTATGTAACTTTGGACCACCTTCATCCATTATGGACATCTCCATGGACCGCTCCATTTCTAATAGTATATCAAACAAATATCTGTGTTAATTTGAGTCATATTTTAATTTTAATTAATTTCTAACTGTATTTGTATATTTAAGGTAAATAAAAATAATGCCAAATTATGGAATAATGTGGGTCATGCTCTGGAAAATGAAAAGAACTTTGAGAGAGCTTTGAAATACTTTCTACAGGCTACCCATGTTCAGCCAGGTAAGCATTACTAATAAAACTATTTGAATAGCTTATTTTCTTTTTAAAAGCTCAGTTATGTGTGAGGAAAATAGAGTTGAGTTTATTTTCAAGCTTTATTTCCAGTGATTTGAATACTACCAGTGTTCAATACTGGCTTTTTTGAATTTGATTAATTGTTAGAAATATGTAAGATATTTAAGGAATTTTTATTATTAAATTTATTAGGATGACATTGGTTAATAAAATTACATAGGTTTCAAGTGTATATTTCTATATCATCTGTATGTTGCATTGTGTGTTTACTACCCAAAGCCAAATCTTCTTCAGTCACAGAATATTTGACACCTTTTAGCCTTTATCACCTCCCCTCCCTTCCCTCTGGCAACCACTATATTGTTGTCTCTGTCTACGTGCGTTTGTTTGTTTGTTTGTCATGTTCATGTGTTTCTTTCAGTTTTGTTTTTCTTTTACACATTGGACAGTAATACAACCTTAGAAAAAAATGTTTTGTTGCTCTCAGTTTTATATCTCACATATGAGTGAATTCATATGGGTCTAGGCTTTTTCTTTCTGACTTATTTTGCTTAGCATGACACACTCAAGATTCATTAATGCTGTAGCAAATGGCAAATGATTGAGTAGTATCCCACTATGTATATATACCACATCTTTACCCAATCATTTACTGAAGGACATTGATTATTTCCATGTCTTGGCCATCATGAATAATACTGCAATGAACATTGGGGTATATATAACTTTACAAATAAATGTTTTCAAATTTTTCAGGCAGATACACAAAAGAGGGGTTGTTGGCTCATATAGTAGCTATAGTATTAATTTCTTGAGGAACTTCCATCCTGTTTTCATAGTGTCTGTACCAGTTTACATTCCTAGTGAATGAGGTTTCCTTTTTCTCCATAACCTCTCCAACACAGGTATAGAAGGAAAGTACTACATAATAAAGGCCATATATGACAAAACCTCAGCTAATATCATACTCAGTGATGAGAGACAAAATATTTTCTTGTAAGATTAGGAACAAGACAAGGAAATTCATTCTTATCACTGTTATTCAGCATAGTATGTAAGTCCAAGCAGAGCAATCAGGCAAGAGAAAGAAAAGTCATCCAAGTTGAGAATGAAGAACTAAAATTGTTGCTTTTTGCAGACAACATGACTATATAGAAAACCCTAAAGACTCCACTAAAAAACTATTAGAAACAATAAACAAATACAGTAAAGCTGCAGGATACAAAATCAATGCATAAAAATACATTGCATTCCTATATATTACCTATGAAATTTCAGAAAAGGAAAATAATACAATTCCTTTTGCAATTCCAACAAAAAGAATTAAATGCCTCAGAACAAACTTAACAACAGGTGTGGAGGACCTATATACTGATAACTGGAAGACATTACTTAAAAATATTGAAGAAGGCGCTAACCAGTTTGGCTCAGTGGATAGAGCGTCAGCCGGCGGACTGAAAGGTCCCTGGTTCGATTCTGGTCAAGGGCATGTACCTTGGTTGTAGGCATATCCCCAGTAGGAGGTGTGCAAGAGGCAGTTGATCAATGTTTCTAACTCTCCCTCTCCCTTCCTCTCTGTAAAAAATCTATATATATATATATATATATATATATATATATATATATATATACACACATACACACACACACAAAGACACCAAAAAATAGAATTTTTAAAAAACAGTGGAGTTGTTGGTAGAGTGGTAGATGCAAAAGCCTTATAGCAATGAGTTTAGGTGGGGAGATAATTGGAAATGGTTGGTAATGAAAACTCTGAAACAGTGCTAGGCATGGGGTCACAAGACCGTGGTAGGTTTTTTTTGTTTTGTTTTTCATTTTAAGGTGGGAGAGCAAAGCATGTGTGCAGCTAAATCTATTGAAGCTGGGAAAAGTAATAATTCAAGGTGAGGGAACGAATTATGGGGTCAATGTTCTTGAGTAGATGAGAAGAGATAAATAGGACCTGGTATATAGATTAGGGACTTGATTCAGTTGTGGAACCACTAGTTAAACCTGATAACAGGGAAGATAGAATATATGGACATGGATATGGGCAGGTGAATAGATGACATGCAGGAAGTTTCTGGAAGGTGCCCTTTGTTGGTAGTTTTTCAATGAAATAAAATCATCGGTAAAGAGTGAAGAAGGAGGGGGAAGTGTTGGAAATATAAGAATAGGAAAAGGTGTGAAGCAGTTTTCTAGGTAATGCTTTACAAGCTTCAATGGGCCTAAGAATCACTTGGAGATATTGATGTGTATGGTGCTTGTTCTGATAAATGAAGGTTTGGAGTAGAACCTGAAGTTCTACATTTCTATAATATTAAGTTTACAGGTGATGCTTAGCCTGTGGATCACACTTTGAGAAACAAAGGTCTAAGAAAGTGTATAGACCATGAAAACATGGTATAATTGCCAAGCAGCCAAGTTTTTCTACTTGGGTTGGAATACTGAAATTAAAACTAAACCAGTTGATGTGGTTGTATGTTTGTCTCCTACTACTTTGCTGCTGCAGTGGTACAGGCATGGAGAATTTGGTTAGCTAGGATTAGGATTTTGTCCTATGTATTTTTAAACAAGAAAGGTATAATAAGATGGTTATATTGATGGGACACAAAATCTAAGACAGTTAAGAAAGGATGTGAGGGAGGGTGAAATAATGGAGGGAAGATGATAGGTTTATAGACCTGGAAAGTTTTGTTGTCTGGGTAGAATCGAGCTAGAGTATAAATATCTTTCAGAAGGAATGCTGTTCAAGTGTGCAGAACTGCTTTTTAGGATATGTATCAAACATGACCCCCACACACAAAATACCGTAATTACTTCCCATTCAGAATGAAGACCAAAAAGTCCCCCCTCGCACACACATTTCTAAAGGTTCTTGGAGGCATAGGGAGTGGCAGGAGGTGAAAATCCTTGGGAGAAAAGACATCAAGGCCGCTTAGTAGAAGATTTTGTTCACGTAAATTTGAAATCACTAAGAATTTTTACAACCATGATGATGGAGAGAATGACAAGGAGTCAGGATACCTGACCAAAAGATTGGTGACTGCAACAAGGAGGGATAGTAGACAATACAATTTAGAGATGATTGATTTTTAAAAGGAGCAGGAATGGTCTGGGGTGGTAAGGCTCAAAGAGGACACCTACCCTTCCTCCTTGCCCAGAGCTGCATGGGATAGAAGAACACGGCACCGCTTGGAAAAGCCACAATGTAAAGTCCCCACGGCAAAGCCAAGTGTCAGTTAGAGAATGATGAAGAGGAACTTGTAAAAATATAACTGAAGGTCTAGCTACTCAATCAATTCTTCCCTGGCTTTCTTTATAGTTTTGTTTTTTTGTTTTTTTTCTCAAAACATAGGATGTATATATCGGATTTCCTCACCTCGGCTTCTTTGCATCTAAGTTTTTCACTTCTCCCCTCTTTCCCATCCATCTCGTACTTCATCCTACCCATCTTTTACAACCCTTCTTACTTGGCTTCCTTTATTTAAAAAAAACAAAACAAACAAACAAACAAAAAAAAAACCTGTATTTTGTTAGAAGCAAATATTGCTTGTCTTTATTTTTTTAATTATTTTCTTTATTGATTAAGGTATCACATATTTGTCCTCAACCTCCCATTCCAATCCCCCTCCTCTCTCCATTTATGCCCCCACCCCCCTTATTATCCTTGACCACTTATGTGCTCATATGTGTGCACATAAGTCCTCTGGTTGATCTCTCCCTTTTATCCCCACCCTCCCTTTGAGGTCCAACAGTCTGATCCATGGCTCCTTATCTCTGGATCTGTTCTTGTTCATCTGTCTATGTTCACCATTTTCCCTAGATGAGTGAGATCATGTCCTACTGGAAATAAACTTATAAGAATCAAAAATGAGGCAAGCAATAATGGTTATGCTGAAAGGCGTATGAATCAGTCTGTGATGAGCTTCTTTCTGGGTCATATTGCTTGTCTTTAAAACTTTTTGTAACTTCAGTCTTTCTTGTGATAGTTGTAATTTTTTGTTTAGTGCTATGTCATATTTATTTCTGTTTATTTATAAAAAATATTTATCTATTTAAACTGAGGAACTCCCTTGGGGCAGCATGAACATCTTATTCATCCTCATACCATACCCTCTGCATCATCTAGCATGGTCTTATCCACAGTCAATGGTCATAATTGTAGTAGTTTTAATTTCTTACTTAATAAAGTCTCTTAGAGGTTTTGAGTAGCAGAGTTATCTTTGATGTCAGATACAGAGGGGACTTTGAGATTAAAAGATGTTATTTAAGCCCCTTCAGCTTTATCTTTCTCATTTCTAAATCAGGACAGTCATTCTTTCTCATTGAATTGCCGTAAAGACTAAATTAAATAGTGTAACTGAGTGTTTATGAGTATGTTTAATTCTATTTAATGAGTAGAATGCTTATTATAGGATGTTGCCAGGTAGAGGCACTGTTTTAAAATAACTTTTCCTTTCATTGTCAATTATTACTTTTTTGCTGATTTTGAGGTTCTTGCTGAACCTCTCTCCTTTAGTATGACTTCCCTACCATACTCTCAAAATTGCTGTTTCTAATAAGCCATGGACTAAGAAAACAGGTAAACCAGTGTGTTGCAATTTATTATGAAAAAATAGACATACTTAGAAACATTGAATTTATTATGAAAAAATAGACATACTTAGAAACATACTTAGAAACAAGGGCTTTTCAGACTAGTCTTTGTTTTCTTGCTATGCTCTTCTTAGATTTGACAAATGAAATGACACATACAGAGGAGAGTCAGAAGTCCTTTTTCGTTCCTGTTAGATATACTAATATAGAGTTATAATTCTGGAGATAAAATCAAGGCTAGATATAAACCTTTGGAGTAACAAATATAAATATAATGTTCAAACCCTAGAATAGTATAGCATTGCACAGAGTAAGATTCTGTAATATTGTAAAGTTAACTTTAAAAAAAATTAGTCAGAAAGCTTTTCTTGCTTAGCCATAATGAAAATATAAACTATACAATATATTTGGACCATGGGATATGCATATCATGTTATATGAACAACTGTTTGCCTTTTTTGTTTTCTTATGTTTTGTTTTGCTGGTTACAGTTGTTTAAAAAGATAAAAGTTTTGCAAAGATAAAAGTTTTGCAGTTGGAATTACAGTTTCCATAAACACCTTTACAAGACAAGGATAGACATTTCTCATGAACCACAAAATAATTTTGCCATAAAATAATTTTATTTTTATCTAAGTCCAAATCTTTGAAATTGTTTGTATCAGAAAAGAATCAAGGACCTGTTATTCAACTTGGATGCCATAAAGATGGAAATAAGTGACTTTTAAAAAGTTTTTAGGAGTTTCCATATGTTTATAATTTACCTTTATAAATGCATTGACAGACAAGTTTTGAATAGGAAATACTGGGAAGCAACACAGATGCCTCACCCTCAGTGTGGGAATGCTCAGCTTCATTGTTGGTGGCTGAGGAATCAGTAGGCTCTGAGCTGCCTGACACTTGCCATTCTTTCTTTACATTGAATTAAAGACATACTGCTGCTGCTGGCCCAGATAGTGCACTCATAATAGCAAGATTATTCTTTGAAATTCTATAGCGTTTTAGTCATTTAAATATTACATCTTGTTTGCTTTTTTTACCTCTTCACAATAAATAAATAAATAAATAAATAAATAAATAAATAAATAAATAAATAAATTTAATTATCTTACCAGTAATGCTATTTCCTCCTCTGCAGTCCTAAAACTTTGTAACTTATGTCATTTTATTAGCTGTATTGGGTAATCCTTTTGATGCTAAAGTCTATCTAATTGCTATCATTTATTCTTTGAGGAAGTGGGGCTGCTTACTCTAGTGTCTGAAATTTTCATTGATGACAATATCTCCTCTCTATAATTCTGAGATCTGATTCCAGTGGGTAGCCATTTCATAGTTTTTCATCCAAATAGATAATCTTTTTTTAAGATTAGTTAGAACTAATTTTAGTAACATTTTAAATACTTATACTTTTTTTAATCTAAACTAATTTTTTCAGGTTTTACATATTCTTAGTAGTACCTGACTACATTTCTGATCTCTATAGTAAATGGCATAAGTTTATCTAATGTTTTAAAAAATTGAACTATATAGAAGCAAAGACTACCTATTGTGTGCACTTGGTAATGCAGTGAATTTTAACCTTAGCTCTACATCAAAATTGCCTTTTAACATTTTAAAGACAATTTTGAAGATTCTACCCCTGAAAATTCTATTTGGATAGAGCTGTGTGGGACTAAGATAAAATTTTTAAAAGCAGGATTGGGAATGGTTGGCCTAAGCATTTTTTTTTAACCCCCACCTCCTGAGATCCCATAAGATTCAGCAATACATCTAAAAACTGAAATCAACCTTTTTCCCAATCTTGTCATAGTTCTCTAATCAAACCTGTACTGCATCTGACCATTTTGGTGCAGTGCACACAATTGACAGCCTGAAACATATGTAATAAGATCTTAGGACTGTTGCTCTCCTCCTAGGGGAATGCCTAAGATATGTATGCTTGGCCCCTATGTGTCCTGGGAGTTGCAGGCAGAGACCTATTTCACAATTGCAAAATCATCGGTGTCACAGGCAAGTAGTAATCACAATTTGAAACCTTGTCATGTCTGTTAGAGATTCATGTTGGCTAAAATTTGTCTGATTTAAGATCTCCTCCCTTCTTTCTGTCTTTATTCCAGACCTCTGAAATATTTACTGGGAAATGTATTTGAAACTCTCATATCTTTTATTATATTTGCACGTTTTTCTACTGAATAAATTAGCTGAGGATTTAATTTTCTGCATCAGAAAATTAGGCAATTTTCTGACATTCTGATATTTAAAACTTTCCAAAAGTTTTAAATAAATTAATAGGAATTTATCATCAGTTAAGAGAGATCGGCTGCTGCATATTAAGTAGTAGTGTATAATACTTGCATTCCAACCACATTTCACAAACATTTTAAAAAATAAAGTCACGAAGTGTTTTCGTATCTCTTTGCCCCTGTCCCACCATGGCATATTGTTAGTTACAACACTGAAAATAATTCTAGGGATTATGATTATTCTTTTTACTTGTATATCCTTTGTACTTTTACAGTTAGTTGAGCCACACTTTTTGAGTAAATACCAAAGCTCTGAGCTTAGGAAATGAAAGCAAGCCTGAGTATGGTATATTAAAACACAGTGAACAAAAGTAATGCACATTTCTTCATTGCCTCTTTTTCTTTCTTCTCATGTTTTAATTCATCAAGGGTGCATTCAGATAGTTTTTTTATGTTATATGTGTATTTTCTGTCTTTACAGTACTTTATTTTTAAAAATATATATTTTATTGATTTTTTTACAGAGAGTAAACTCTGTAAACTAGAAACATCGATGAGAGAGAAACATCAATCAGCTGCCTCTTGCACAGCCCCTACTGGGAATGTGCCCACAACCAATGTACATGGCCTTGACCAGAATCAAACCTGGGACCTTTCAGTCTGACGCTCTATCCACTAAGCCAAACCGGTTTCGGCTACAGTACTTTATTTAATAATTTGCTAGTATAGCATTGATCATAAATTATAAAAGTTGTATTATAAGAACTTTGAGGAGGAATGCCTGCTTTTGCATTTTTTGCTATTGTTTTTGTTGCAAGAAATATGTCCTCTTAGTAGTTTACATTGAATTCTATTTCACATATTTGTCAACAAATAATTTCTTTAAAATTTTAGATGATATTGGTGCCCACATGAATGTAGGAAGAACTTACAAAAATTTAAATAGAACCAAAGAAGCTGAAGAATCTTACATGACAGCCAAGTCACTGATGCCTCAAGTAAGTTATCATTTATTCCTGTTGTGCCATGTCTATTAAATATCCATATTGAATAAAATTATCTAGATGGAAAATCCTTGTCTTTCCTTCAATTTATTGATATAAAAGTAAGGTGTCAAATGAACCATCTATTTAGTATACTTAAGTATAATAAAAGAATACACTTTTCTAGCTCAATTAAAAAAAATTTTTTGTATAGTCTATAAAAACTAAATTCATAGTTAATGAATTTTTGATAGTTTTATTACAAGTTATCAATGAGTTAAATTACTTTGGATGAAGAGAATTTTATCTATGTACATTAAGCACTAAATTTATCATTAGTCCTACCAAAAAAATAAATGAATAAAAACAAAATGAATATATCTCTTGCTATATTGTGTCCCTCAGTTGTTATGATACAAGATTCTCTCGATATTTTGGAAAATCTGATCTTGCTCTTGACCTAACTGTGCATCATCAGAAAGGTTGATTTACTCTGACTACAGTTTTCTGACTACAGTTGATTTACTCTGACTACAGTTGATTTACTCTGACTACAGTTTTCTTTTTTTCTAAAGTCAGTTTTCTTGAGTGTATTATGTATTAATACTATATTAATAATAGTAGTAATATTAAAATGAATGGTTTGATAAATGTTTTAAGAACAAATTAGACCACATGATACTTAAGAAATAACTTCTAAGATTCTAAAGTTAAATTGTGTTCAGGGTGGATTTTTATCAGATATAATTATGTTCATTGAAAATTTGGGTCTATATATTATTTATGATAATGTTTATTTAACCTGAATAATCAATTGATAAGATGATTTTATTTCCTAACTCCACCAGACAAGTGAGGTTTTAGTAAAACTATGAAATACAGTTAACCACCTTATTGTCACAACCAGTAAATAAATATTTTGCTGAAAACATGAAAGTTGACATGGTTTCACTAGACAGAAAAGAGCCCTGAGTTCTATTTCTAGTCTGACATAAACATACTGATATCTTAGCCTGTAAAAGTCCTGGTTTGTATGACTTCATTCTATTAAGCTGGCATGAATGAAAAAAATGTATTCTTTAGTGCAAGAAATTATTATTTTATATGCTCTGACTATATATATAATAGCATTGTCTTTTTATATTCTGTGTACATTTTAAATAAGCTACTAAGCCTACTTTCTTTTTACTTTTATATGGTAATGAAATATCAATTTATGGAAATGCCTTTTCTTTTGAACAGATTATTCCTGGTAAAAAATATGCAGCCAGAATTGCCCCTAACCACCTCAATGTTTATATTAATCTGGCCAATCTGATCCGAGCAGATGAGTCTCGGCTAGAAGAAGCTGACCAGCTGTATCGACAAGCAATAAGCATGAGACCCGACTTCAAACAGGCTTACATTAGCAGGTATATTAGGTCGTTTAAGCTATTGTTATAGAACATTGAAGCAGTATCTATCTGCATGTTACATTTTTACTATTTTGACTAAATTAGCTTTTTCCCCTCCACAATCTTAGTTGCAATTAACATAGAAACAGCCCATTTTGGACTAGCAATCAAAATTAAATTGATTTGAAATTGGCAGGGGAGTCCATAACTTATATTAGCAAACTTTAGGTTTTATATGAAAGAAGCTCCTTAGTTTCATTTGTTTCTTATCACCAAATTTATTTTATGTAAAACACCTAAATCTTACATTTTATAATTAATACTTTTAATATCTAACTCTCAGAAACTTTCTTAAATAAATGCTGAGAGTTGACTGGTTATTAATGCCTTTACCATAAAGAAACTTTTTAGTTGTCATAAAAATAAGTTTTTGGTATCATATGTTAGAACTTGATATGTTTTCCCTTATAAGTGTAATTGTTTGTATTATACTTGAGGAAAGTAGTGTGCTAAACTTTGTTTTTTAGCCTGGTCCAAATACCTAGTCATAATTTATGGCATTGCTTCTCTAGGGAAAATGCATTCAGAATTTAATAAGTTTTTTATCTCGAGATTATTTGGGAGCCATCTTTGTTCAGCCTTATCCAGTGCTTTTTGAAATTCTCTAGGTTTAGTGGAGTTGTATCTGTAAATCTTTCTTGTGTTAATACATAAAGAATTATTTAACAGTCTCTTCATAAAAAGATAACATTTTAGACAAATACTCATATAAAATTTCCCTAATCAAGAATATTAATAGGAAAAAAACGTAAAAAAAAAAAAAAGCAAGAATGATAACAAAAAAATAATCTTATTCCAAGCATTTCAATAACTTTTTGTATATGTACTTACTATACTATAAATAGTAGGTTTGTATGAAATGATTAAAAGACCAAAGATAAAAAGGTTTCTTTTTTCCTTTTTTTTGTCTATGAAATTTCTGTTTGTTTATTTATTTATTTATTTATTTATTTATTTATTTATTTTTGCCTGTTTGATGTATGTGTGAAACAATGTTGTCCAATAATAAATGGGTATATTATTTTTACTGAGTTGTTCTAACAACAACAAAAAAGAATACTAATAGTCATTCATTTGATTTCATTCCTGTGCTGATACTTTAGGAAAGAATATTATCATAAAAGTCCTCTTATATCATTGCTTAAATTGATTTGCATATATGTACTTAATCAAAATGATGCTTTAAACTCTCTAACAGGAAATAGAACCGTATTAGAAAGATATATAAAATAGTTTTCAAATTGTGGTCCTCAATTTCACAATGATTTTCAAAGATATCTGCAGGTGGCACCAGCACCCCTTCCACATCAGCTTTTTTAATTCTTACTCCACCCCCCAATGAGTGATCATTTTATAAGAATACACTGGTCCAGGTCTGTGTGGCTCACTTGCTTGGAGTGTCATCCCCTACTCCAAAAGGTGCATGTTTGATATCCTTGTCGGGAGATAGCCGATCCATGTTTCTCTCCTCCCTCCTCCCCTTTCCTCTCTAAAAAAAAAAATCAATAAAATAAAAATATTTAAAGAATGCATAGAAGATAAGAAGGGTTAAAATTTTTCTAATGTTCTATTTTTTGTATAGTGAAAACATATATTAAAATGCCCCATCACTACGTTTTTCTTTTCTTTCTTAAAATGCTATCACCTCATTTTCTGACAAATTATCTCCCACTCTGATAGCTATTATTTTTCTGAAGTACTCTAGTCTGCTTCCTTTCAAGTTATATTCAAAGTATATATTTTTCTGTGAATACCTCCCCACATCTTAACTCTCTAAAGTCAGGCATGCTTATTTTTAAGTAATATTTGAAAACATATCAAGTCATATTTGCCAAGCCTAAGACTTCATGTTTGAGGACAGTTTCTGGTAGTTTTTTTTTTTTCTGTTATTATTATTATTATTATTAAACTTATTGGGGTAATATTGGTTAATAATATTATGTAATTTTCAGGTATACAAGATTATAATTTGACATCTGTATACTCTAGTTTCCTTCCATCCTTATATATTTAACCCCTTTTCCCACTTCACCCTTCCCTCAACCAACCTCTTCTCCCTCTAGCAACCACCATTCTGTTGTCTGTATCTGAGTTTTTTTCTCTTTTGTTATTTGTTTATTGCTTTTTGTTTTAATTCCATGTATGAGTGAAATTATACTTATTTTATTTAACATAATACTTTCAAGATTCATCCGTGTTATCACAAATGCAATATTGTTACTTTTTATGGGTGAGTATTATATATAAATAGTTTCCATGTCTTAGTTATTGTAAATAGAAATATAGATATCTTTATGATAAGTTTTTTTTCATATTTTTCAGGTAAATATCCAGAAGAGCAATTCCTGGATTATATAGTTCTAGTCTTAATTTTTTGAAAAACTTCCATACTGTTTTCCGTATGGCTGCACTAATTTATATTCCCACAAACAGTCTATGAGCTTTCCCTTATCTTCACCTCTCTAACTCTTGTTATTTGTCTTTTTCTAATAGCCACTAGAGGCCTGGTGCACGAAATTCGTGCATGGGGGTGAAGGGTGTCCCTCAGCCCAGCCTGCACCCTCTCCAATCTAGGACCCCTCGAGGGATGTCTGACTGCCCATTTAGGCCCTATCCCAGTAGGATCACGCCTAAATGGGCAGTTGGACAACCCTCTCCTAATCCAGGACTGCTGGCTCCCAACTACCCGCCTGCCTACCTTCCTGATTGCCCCTAACCACTTCTGCTTGCCAGCCTGATTGATGCCTAACTGCTCCCCTATCAGCCTGTTTGCTCCTAACTATCCTCCCCTGCAGGCCTGGTCCCAACTAACTGCCTTCCCCTGCAGACCTGGGTCCCCCCCAACTGCCCTTTCCTGCAGGTCCAGTTACCCCCAACTTTCCTCCTCTGCTGGCCTGGTCACCCCTAACTGCCCTCTCCTGCAGGCTTGATCGCCCACAGTTGCCCTTCCTTGTAGGCCTGGTCCCTCCCAACTACCCTCCCCTGCTGGCCATCTTGTGGTGGCCATTTTATGTCCACATGGGGGCAGTCATCTTTGACCACATGGGGCAGCCATCTTGTGTGTTGGAGTGATGGTCAATTTGCATATTATTCTTTTATTAGATTGGATTAGATAGGATAGAGCATGGTACATGGGTGAGGACTGGCCGGTTTGCCCTGAAGGGTGTCCTGGATAAGTGTGGGGGTCCCCTTGGGGTGTGGGGCAGCCTGGGTGAGGGGCCTGGTTTTCAGGCCGGCCACATACCCCTGGTGACCAAGTGGAGACCCTGGTATCTGGGATTTGTTTATCTTCTATAATTGAAGCTTTGTAGCCTTGAGCGGGGTCTGTGGCTGCTGCCATTTTTGTTTGGATTTATTTATTTTCGATAATTGAAACTTTGTAACCTGGAGTGAAGGCCTAGGCCAGCCAGGGCAGGCAGAAAGCTTGGCTTCCTCCATTGCTGGATAAACCCAAGCCTCCCTCCTGCTCTCTGGCCACAGTCAATTTCGTTGGGTTTATTTGCATATTTGCTCCTGATTGGCTAATGGGCGTGGCTTATGGTCATGGTTGTGGGTATAGCGGAGATATGGTTAATTTGCAAATTACTCTTTTATTAGATAGGATAGAGGCCTGGTGCATAGGTGGGGACCAGCAGGTTTGCCCTGAAGGGTGTCTTGATTCTGGGTGGGGGTTCCCTTGTGGCCTGGGTGAAGAGTCTGTGGTGATTTGCAGGCTGGCCACACACCCTGGCAACCCAAGCAGCGGCCCTATTATCTAGGATTTATTTATCTTCTATAATTGAAACTTTGTAGCCTGGAGTGGAGGTCTGGGCCAGCCAGAGCAGGTGGAAAGCTTGGCTTCCTCCATCTCCAGTAGCAACTCAAACCTCCTGGTCTCTCCAGCTCTGTGGCTGCCATCATTTTTGGGGGGGTTTATTTATTTATCTTCTGTAATTGAAATTCTGTATTATTGATTGGATGCCTGGGCCAGTCAAGGGTAGGCCGCCCAGGCCTCCATTGCCGGGGAAACCCAAGCCTCCCTCCTGCTCCCATAGCTGCAGCCATCTTGGTTGGGTTTATTTGCATACTTGCTCCTGATTGGCTGATGGGCATGGCTTGTGGATGTAGCAGAGGTACAGTCAATTTGCATATTCCTCTTCTTTTATTAGATAGGATTCTAACAGGTGTTGAGGTGGTAATCTCAACGGGTTTTGATTTGCCTTTCCCTAATAACTAGTGATGTTGAATAGCTTTTCATACATCTGTTTGCCATATGGGTAGCTAGTTCATTTATTAATAGGATGGTTTTCTGAGTTGTGTGAGTTCTTTGTATATATTTGATATTAACTCCTTTTGGAGATATTGTTTGCAAATATCTTCTCCCATTCAGTTGATTGCCTTTTTTTTTTTTTTGTAGATTTTTTGTTTTCTTTTGCTATGCAAAAGTTTTTTAGTTTGTGGTAGATCTGTTCCTTTATTTTTGCTTTTACTTTCCTTAAGGTTAGGGTCTAGTTCACAAACTTTTTATTTTTTATTTTTTAAATATATTTTATTGATTTTGTACAGAGAGGAAGGGAGAGAGAGAGAGCTAGAAACATCGATGAGAGAGAGTCATCGATCAGCTGCCTCATGCACATCCCCCACTGGGGATATGCCCGCAACCAAGGTACATGCCCTTGACCGGAATCGAACCTGGGTCCCGTCAGTCCCCAAGCCGAAGCTCTATCCATTGAGCCAAACCAGTTCTGGCTAGTTCACAAACTTTTTGACATTAAGGTTTATAAGTTTAGCGCCTATAGTTTCTTCTATTTATTTTATTATTTCAGGGCTTACATTTCCAGTCTTCATCCATTTTGAGTCAGTTTTTGTTTGTGATGTAAGATAGTAATCTAGTTTCATTCTTTTGCATATGGCTCTCCAATTCTCTCAACAACATTCATTGAAGATACTTTCCTTTCTCCATTGTATATTCTTGGCTCCTTTTTTGAAAATTAGTTCTCCATATATATGTAGTTTATTTTTGGACTTTCAATTCCATTTCTGCCAGCACCGTGTACTGTTTTTGATTACTGTGGCTTTGTAGTATAGTTTTAAGTCAGAGAGTGTGATACCTCTGGCTTTGTTCTTTTTTCTCAGTATTGCTTTGGCCAGGTGATTATTTTGAATGAAAACTTTAAGAACCTCAGTTAAAAGAAAAAAGAAAGCTGTGAATATATGGAAAAGCTTAAAATTTGTGAAAAATAGTATCTATAAACTGACATGGCAATGTTGTAACTAAAGCTTATGCTTGATTTTTCCACAGAGGAGAATTGCTTTTAAAAATGAATAAACCTTTCAAAGCAAAAGAAGCATATCTTAAAGCACTGGAGTTGGACAGAAATAATGCAGATCTTTGGTATAACTTGGCGATTGTTCAGATTGAACTTAAAGAACCAAATGAAGCTCTTAAAAACTTTAATCGTGCTTTAGAACTAAATCCAAAACATAAGCTAGCATTATTCAATTCTGGTATATTAATGCAAGAATCAGGTATGTTTTCTCAAAATATTTCTACATTTAAACACATTGAAATTAGAAATATAATAAAACCTTAATTTAAAATATATTGCCTATAGTAAAAATTTTATGCATGGATAGTTTGTATCAAAACTGTATAAATGATTTATAAGTAGAATTTTTAACATACTTAAACTTCTCAAGGAATATACACTTACATATATGACAATTCTAATTGTTCTTCTGATATATGTTAAGACTGAGTTTTTGAGCAATCTCTTGAGCAAAGCCTTATTAATCCTGTCATTTTATGCAGTAAAATACAATCTCATATTTCTCAAATATAGGCAGTCCTCAGGTTACATCACCATCTCCGATTTATTTATTAAAAAATAAAAAAGTTCCGTTATTTTGACATATGTACATATGTGCTTTATGTTTTTATTATTTATTCACCACAATTAAAGGTCAGGAATTGTTATCTTTCTTTAAATTTTTTTTTACTGTTTCACTTCATTACTGCTGTGTATGTGCTCAATGTGAGTGACGTGGGTGCTTATGTAGGTGGTTTCTGACTTACGGCCGAAAAGCGCGTTACTTCGCAACATAGGAATGGATCTCTAACATAAATGAACATCTACTGTAATATGAATTTGTAAAATTTTTTACATAATTATTTCTAGGAAGCTAATAGCATTGTATGTTTTAGAAAAAGATATTCTATCTTCTCTTGATTTATAAAACCAAATACTTTTGGTGGTTTTTTTTTATCCAGTTTTACTGTTTTCTGAGATTTTATTGTAATTTCCTATAATTTCTATGATTTAGCAAAAGTTATGAATTATTATGAATCAGGATTTTTTATATATGGGGATTTTAGTACTAAGAAAGCTGTGTATGGTTTATAATCTGTATTTGGAAAATATAGTTACAGTTTTAAGTTAATTATTTTTAAAACTTTTGCAAAAAAAATGAATGGATCATAAAATCATATTATTTTAGAGCAAGAAGACCTACAAGTTTACTTTTACCAATCTTCTATTTAGTGGATTAGAGAGTGAGGACCAAATAGATATAATAACTATCCCAACTTTATGTAGCCCATAGTAATTAGCCCAAGATAGAAACTTAAGCCTACTGATTTATTTTCAAGGTTTTTTATTTTATTTATTTACTATATTGTCAAATAAAAGAATAGAGGAGGGCTTTAGCCTGGTATTCAAAAAAGTTTAAATTCAGAGAAGAGCTAATATTTCTGTGAAGTTAGCTAACTAGCAATCATGAAAGGGCCTATTATCCAACACAGATTGTGCCTTAAGGTTTATAGTTGTAGAACTTGAATTCATTTATATTTATTTACAATAAAGTTATCTTAATAAATGTTTACTAAATCCAAATATATATTTATAAACTTTATACTTACTGGTATATTTTTACCTTTGAATCGTCCTAAAAAATTTGAAGTAACATACAAGTCTTAATAAGATAGAAACATTATCTTACTCAATAATAGTTAATGTTTACATATATCTCATGCAATTCATTTTTCATGTTTACATATATCTCATGCAAAGCATTTTTATATATATCTCATGCAATTCTAAGAAAATTCATAAGTTAACCCAGAGAAGTTCAATAACTTACTTGTTATCTTACCCAATAATAGTTAATGTATCTTACCCAAACATTATCTTACCCAATAATAGTTAATGTTTACTAAGCATTTTTACATATATCTCATGTAATTCTAAGAAAATTCATAAGTTAACCCAGAGAAGTTCAATAACTTGCTTGTTCAGTGTATAAACTTACAATGTTAGCAGAATCAAGATTGAATGCATGTCTCTTGGCAAATCTCATGCCTCTTTCTTTTCATTCTCTATTCTTTCTCTGCTACTCAGAGTTAGCTTCTAAACTGTCAGGAGATATTTTCTAGCATTTCATTTCAAATACACACTCTTTCCTATGAAGACTAAGATTTTCCTTTTTGCTTTTGATTTAGGTACAGCAATCAGTTGTTTTGATGCTCTCTTTTTATAATCTAACTAGATAAAATATGACAGTGGCTTTTTTCCTCAGGCTTAATTTGTTTGCTAACAACATAATGTTTTTCTTTTTTTAAAAAATTATTCATAGGTGAGGTTAAGCTCAGACCTGAAGCTAGAAAACGACTTCTAAGTTATATAAATGAAGAGCCACAAGATGCTAATGGTTATTTCAATCTGGGAATGCTTGCCATGGACGACAAAAAGGACTCTGAAGCAGAGATGTGGATGAAGAAAGCCATAAAATTACAAGCTGACTTCAGAAGTGCTTTGTTTAATCTGGCTCTGCTGTATTCTCAGACTGCAAAGGAATTACTGGCTTTGCCAGTTTTAGAAGAGTTACTCAAATACTATCCTGATCATATTAAGGGTCTCATTTTAAAGGGAGACATTCTAATGAATCAAAAGAAAGATATACTTGGAGCAAAAAAATGTTTCGAAAAGATTTTGGAGATGGATCCAAGCAATGTGCAAGGAAAGCACAATCTTTGTGTTGTTTATTTTGAGGAGAAAGACTTATTAAAAGCTGAAAAATGCCTGCTTGAAACATTGGCATTAGCACCACATGAAGAATATATCCAGCGCCATTTGAATATAGTCAGGGATAAAATTTCTGCATCTAGTTTAATAGAACAGCCAATATTCCCAGTTAGTAAGACTTCAGGAAACAAAATTCCGACCGAAAATGCAAGAGAAATAAGAAGTGAACCCCAACTCACACAGGTAATAAAAACAAGTGATAATAAAAGTTCATCTAAAACCAACAAACAATTAGGAAAAGATACAGACAGTGAGACCCCTCAGAAAACAACAAAAGAAATAAAAGAAATTGAGAAGAAAAGAGTTGCTGCTTTAAAAAGATTAGAAGAGATTGAACGTATTTTAAATGGAGAATAGCATTACATTTTATTATGTGACAATGGTTTCAGAGAACAAGTCTATATCAATTGATTGCTTATGGCAACTTTGAAAAATAGAAAAGATTCATAACAGTCTATCATGAGCTGCCTATATATAGGATCAAAATAAGATTTTTATTAAACACCTAACTTACAACAGGTTATGTATTCTAAGATATTACATAGTTTTCTGAGTTTTGGTGAATATAGCCGAAATATTAAATCAGGTGGCTAATTTGTACCTTTTATTATAGAAGGAAGATTCTTCCAGCAGAATTTAATTGACTACTCTCAAAAAGTCTTGAGGCCTGAATGATAATACCTTTGGGGTAAAACCAACATTTGCTATTTCATTCTGTGAATTTCCGTTTATTACTGACTTCATTTTTCCTTAACCTGTTGAAATTTGACTATGAATTGAAAACACTTATTGAACACTTATTTTTTCTTTAGTGACTTTCTGTTTAACCAAGGGACTTTGCCGATAAAAGAATACTGACTTTATGCATATTCTTTTATTGATTTTTAGAAGGAATGCTAGATGAAACACTTTAAAATAAGTAATGACATGTGAGGTTAAGAATGTATTTTTATAATTATGTGCTGTCCTTCACTCTAAAATGCAAATTTCAATCAGGTAAAGTTTTAAATATATATGTGTACATATAATACATTTTTAATGGTGCTCAGATATACTGTATTTTTATTTTCTTAACATACTGAGAATTTCACAACATGAACCACATAATCATGATTATCTTTTACTTATATTCCCCAAACTATTCATATTTCTTAGGGTCATAGTCATATTAAGAAGTCTCAAAAACTATAACTTCATTGATTTAAAACACGGTAAGTTTCTCTTTCATCTTAAGATGTATTATCTCTCTAGTGTTATTTGAATTTGAATTTTGTTTCCAAAAATAATGTGATGTTTTTTTAAACACTAAGTTCTTAATGTCGTGTTATGGTGTATATTTTTATTAAATATTTATTTTGACTACTGAGCTTTCATAAAATTTTAAAGCTGTTTTAATTCTATTAAATATGGAAAACAAGTTGCTATATTTCATTTGCCTATATGTGCGTGTATTACAGTTTAACCAAAATTCCATCATTTTGGCCTGCTGTCCAGCTCTAAAAGATAATTAGTAATTGAATTAATAAATTGATAATTGGTTTTATCATATTGAATCTGAAAACTGTTAAAAGAGTAAATACAAATCAAATTTATTAATTTAAATCTAATATTTTTCTTGACTTAACTGCATTTCAAGTGAATTTCATAATACTTAATAAAGTTGATGTTCACTTAAAATGTTAAAGCTAACATCCTGGGACAGTAGCAAATTCTAATTATAAAGTAAAAAGCTATATTTTGTTTTTGTCTTTCTTTTTTTTGAGTTAACTAATTTCTAATTGTGTATTGTTTTAAAAAATAAATCCCTGTAACTTTTTAAAAGAAATGTTTTATAAATAGGTCACAAAAAATATGGTTTGCATTAAGGACACACTTGTGCAAGGTTCCCTGAGGCTCTCTCCTGGATTAATTTTTAGGCAATGTAAAGCAAGCACTGACACAGTAATGGTAGTGATTCTTGATGCAGGAGATTCTGTTATTCATTAAATACCTAATTTCAGTTCTTAAATTATGGCTTTGTGACTCCAGATATACAGTATAGTGAGAATACCTCATATGCTATGACTTGAAAAGTGAAATCTGTATGTATTATTATTCATTATACATATCTTGAAACAAGGCTTCTGGGTATGATCTCCTTAGGTACAGTAGCAAGTGAGTATAGTTTAGAAAAGTAGAAGGAAATCTTTCATGACAGCAGACTATAATAAAAGCTTTGAGCAATATTTTATTAAAGTTATATAACATTCAAAAGATAAAAGATATATTAATATTATCAAATGGTTTTTGTAGAAAAAAGAATTTCCTCTTTACTAACTCTTAAAAGAGTGCCTACCATGTAGGAAGTGCTCATATATTTGAATTTTAAATAATTTATTTAAATCAGATTCAACCTGAAATTTGTAATTTTTACAAATCAATGTTTTGCAACCCTCACTTTATATTTCAATAATCTATAGGGCTCTTAATATGAACCCACCCACAACAGTTAAAATTGAATTTTTTAGGGTTGGAGCTATTAAGTTGTTCTAAAAGTTCCCGAAGTTATGCTAATTTGTGGTTAGGGTTAAAAAACACGGATCTAACTTAATTTTTTAAAAAATCCTACTATCTCCCCTGTATTAACTTTTTAAGTAATATAGCTCAATTAAGCTTTTTAAATATATTTTTATTGATTTCAGAAAGGGAGAGAAACATCAATGATGAGCGGGAATCATTGATCTGCTGCTCCTGCACGCCCCCCACGGGGAATCAAGCCCTCAATCAAGCCCTCAGTTCCCTGACTGGGAATTGAACCACAGACTTCTGGTTTATGGGTTGAGGCTCAACCATTGAGCAATACTGGCCGTGCCCTCCAATTAAGTCTTGATTTTTTAAATTCCTTTAAGAAATATGCTCTTCTGATAACCAGTACATTATGTCTTCACATAATGTCATAATAGCTTCTTGAGAACTGCTACACTCAGTGAAACATGATGAAACCAGTTTGCCGCAGGCTAATTGATATAAATAACAGTTACTTTTCTACAGCATATTTCCGGTCGTAAAAACCTCATGAAACTTCTAAATAAAGACCCAAAACACTTCTGATAATAAACATTGAAATAAATGTGTGTTATACATAATTTATACATACCGTGTTTCCCCAAAAATAAGACATCCTCTGAAAATAAGACCTACTTACAGGTTTCCTTCTGAGTGAAATATAAGGCATCCCCCTGAAAATAAGGCCCCTTTAGGCTAAACATGAGAGATTTGGTCCACTGATTCTGAAAGAAATGGAGTCACAAGAAATTCAGGAATTGGATTGTTATGATGATGTTCCAGAAGATGATAACATGATTGTCATTGAATAAATGAGTAAATTCTTGATACTTCAGGATTCACAGTTTGTCTGGTTTGTGTTGACAACTACCGTACTACCATACCATATACAGGTAATAAATTTCCTTTATTTTCATTTAACAATAAATGTGTATCGTATTCTTCATGGAAAAATAAGACATCCCCTGAAAATAAGACCTAGCACATCTTTGGGAGCAAAAATTAATATAAGACACTGTCTTATTTTCGGGGAAACAGGGTACTTGATGAATAAAAACAAGTAAGTTAATTAGTTTCTAACCCACTTATTCCAGTTCAATGTCGGAAGGCTGGAGCTGTTCCTAGCGCTCAGAGCACAAGGCAGGCACCCATTCTGGACAGAATGCCTTCCCATTACAGGAAACACTACATACTCCACTCCATCAGACTGGGACTACATAGACACTCCAATTAACCTTATATGCAAAACTAGGAAGTGGGGTGATCTTGAGTATCTGGAGAAAACTCGGGCAGACATGGGAGAACATACAAATTACACACAGACATGGCCCAAGCTGGGAATTGACTATTTTTTGCCCTCATCAACAAAACGTCAAAATGGTGTTGAACAGGTGGTTCTTGAGGACTTGCTGTATTTATTCCATCTTAGTTCCATCAAGTTTACTTATGCATAAGATGATTATTTCTTCTCTTTATATTCATAATAGAAATTTAGTCAAGCTGTTTAGTTCAGAAAAAGAGAATGTGTTTTTCCCCTTTTGGAGGGTAGGGACATTTTAGCCCAGTTCACTAACCTGTGGTTTAGAGTTGTGAGCACATATAAGTTTGGGAAAGAAAATTCATAAAAGATGTGTGAAAATTTGTAAAAGGTGTGTGCCGGTAAAGGATTTAGTTTTAGTTCTGTTTTACAAAAGAATCTACTCCCCTTGAGTTCTAGGAAAGCTTTGACAATCCCCAAGGGGCAGTTTGTTAATCCTCGCTGCTCAGAAGGAAAAATAAAGTTTTTCATATATTGTTCCTATATGTGTTTGCCTTTGAACATTCAAAATTGGGGATTTTATTTTTCAGTTATTTCAATAAGTAATTTTAAGAGGTTGATGACTTGTAGGACAAAATTATGTTTCAGTTTTGTATTTTTATGTGAATATTTGGTATGTGACTTGCACAATTTTAATAAAAATATGTCTTTCATTACATCTAATTTGAGGTTTCAATTTCATGTTACAGAATGGGTAATTTCATGTTACCTAAAACACTTCTGATAATAAACATTGAAATAAATGTGTGTTATACATAATTTATACATACCGTGTTTCCCCAAAAATAAGACATTCTCCAAAAATAAGACATTCTCCAAACCTACTTACAGGTTTCCTGCTTTAAAGATTTCAATGAAAAGCATGAAAATATATAGATTTGTATGTTAATTTATAACTAGAAATCCACATATTTGTCATTTATTTTTACAAAAACCTTCTCTATTTGTGTTCATGAGTAAATAGTATTTAAAATGAACCCTTTAAAATGTCTGGTACATTTGCCCAAAATTTTATCTGTTAGAAACTGTCAGCCATCCATGTTGACATTTCATAAGAAAGTAATTTAAAATTGTATAATTTTATATTACTATGGTGTCTGTGTGTACCATATTTCTAAATATTCATTATTAAATTGATACTTTTAAAAACATTAACCTGAACTGCCTTTTAATGTTAAAATGAAAAAGACAATCTGGCAGTTTTATTAGCAGTCATCTAAGAAAGGCATGTTTTAAATTAGCTCCTAACAACGATACATTAAAAAAAAAAAAAAAAATCTTTACTGTTGAAAGTATTACAGATGCCCCTCCTCTATTTTCCCTACATTGCCCCCCCTCAACCCAGGTCCTACCCCACCCTAGGCCTTCACCACCCTATTATCTGTGTCCATGGATTATGCATAAATTCTTATTTTTCCCTCTGTCCCCATTCCCTCTTCCCTCTGAGATTCTTCAGTCTTTTCCATAATCCATGGCCCTGATTCTATTTTTTTATCAAGTTTTTTTGTTTGTTTGTTTTTCCATTATGTTCCTTTGTTTTGATTTTTAGGTTCAATTTTTATTTTATTATTATTTTTTTATTTATTTGTTCTTGAATCCTCACCTGGGGATGTTTTTTCCATGGATTTTTAGAGAGAGTGGAAAAGATGGTTAGAGTCAGAGAGAAATAAAGATGTGAGAGATCCATCAATTGGTTGCCTTCCCTAAACATCCTGGCCTGTACCGGGAATCAAGTCTGTAACAAAGGTATACACTGAATGGCCAGATTATTACGATCT